TATATATATATATATACACTAGGTAACTGGCGCATGTGGAGCGGCGACACAATAAAGAATTGATCCAGTGCAGCGCGGTGTAGGATAATAGGGTGTATACGCCAATTAGGGCCATTTGATTAATTAAACTTATGTGAATTGATATGGTGCATCGCGGCGCATAAAAGTTTGGTGCGCAGGTGTATCTGGACCATAGAAGTGGTCTGGTCAACTATGGGATTATTTGGTGTATTGCAGACCATGAGAAGATGGTGCACTCGCTGATCTGGACCTTAGATCTATTATAGTTAATAAAAAATAATCTAGTGTGAGCGTGTTCATTTGCGCACTCATTTATGACCATTGGATGCGGCATAAAGGAAGTGATGGATTCAGTGTGGTGAGCTCACGGTAGCTGAAAGAGCTTAGCCAATACCAGCACACAAGGAGGCTTGAATCCAGCGCGTGCAAGTGCATAGTAAGCACGTGGGCGCGCGTGGGAAACTATGTTGGCCTAATTCGACACTAGAAATTAAAACGGTCATAACTTAGTCATTTTAAATCGAAATTGGGTCATTCTTGAGCTCAAATTCAAGGATTTTTCGTCTTCTTTCCAATGGTACCAATTTCATTCTCAGATTCCCATCCTACTAGGAGATATTTATGTTTTAGTGAGAAAGTGTCGGAAAACTATTTAAACCAATATGGAGTATTTAAAGGAAACTATTTCTGACATATTTAGTTGCACTAATTTGTATAAATATAATAAATTAATAATTTGTTATGGAAGGAAGTGTATATATATATATATATATATATATATATATATATATATTCATCCTTCCATACAACTCATAGACAAATTAAACTATATATACACATATATATATATGGAAGGATGATTATATATATATATATATATATATATATATATATATGTATGTATGTATGTATTTATATTGATTTTAAATAATCAATGATTATTAAAGAAGGTGTTAAACACATATATACATTAAATAACATATGTGTAGGTATATATATATATATAAATCATTTAAGATGATTAATATTATCATTCTTATTTGGCATATCTTAATAGGCTAGTTGTTAAATTAATGATATGCGTATAATATGCATGTGATGGCTATGTATGATTTAGCGTATTGTTAATTTTAAAGTTAATTTATGGTTAAAGTGTGGGCATGGATGAATTGTCAAATGATTAAATATATTACCTAAATATTTGTATGAATAGAATACATATATGGAAAGCATGGATGAATTGCTAATTAAATGTATGAATAAATATACCTGTGGAGGCATGGTTGAATTGCCAATGTATAAATATACATACACGGAGGCTTGGTTGAATTGATAATGTATAAATAAATAAACTTATGGAGGCATGGTTGAATTGCCAATATATAAATAAAAATATTTACAATGGCATGGTTGATTTGCCAAAGCATAATTACGTTGTTATGTGTTAGATGATTAAAATATCATCTATGGTTGTTGTATGTATGGATTGAATTAGGGTTAGATATTCTTAAATGAGAATAGTTTAGTACTTACTGGTTAGTGTATTATTTTACATTAATAAAATAATATTGGGGAAGACGTGGATGATTTGTCAAAACTTGGATTTTGGATATGTGATTTAAACAATTAAAATCATTATCGGGTTGGGATTAAATAGAGTATTTCTTTTATTATAATTTGTTGTTTAAATGATTAAACAACTGACTAGGATGGGATTAAGGTCAAAGGAGTTTTTATAAAATGAAATGGTAGATTGGTCTAGGTATGAATATTATTTTAATAATTATTTAATAGGTATGGAAATTTAATAAACCTATTAATGGATGTGATTAGTATAGTATATATAATTATATATAGACATGTATATCGTGCTTTATTAAAGTTAAAACTTTATTATGTTTGGTTTTGATCAGAGATGATCTGCTTATTGGTTTTCAGAGGCCTGGTAGAGTGAACTTGCTCGTAGGATTTAACCCACGATTTATTTTTCAGGTTATTAGAGGTTCCAGTCTCGAGGTTGAGGATCCGCAGCTGGGAGACTGTCATTCGTCTATTCATCTTGTGTACTTTTAAATAGTATTGGATTATTGGATAATGTTTTAAGGGGTCCTTTAGTTATGGGATTTCCGAATTGTAATTGTTGGAGAATCATTAAGTAATATTTATTTATTAATTTTCTTCAGCGGTTTATTTATTCTTTATTATTCATCTTTGTATTCTGTGCTTGTTAAATACTTAAATTGTTTTGATATCCCTTGATTTTGTGCGCGGACTTGATCAATCCGTGTTCCAAAATTAGGGGGTATCACAGAGACCCCTCCTTGAACTTCATAACTCTAAGAATGCTTCTCTTTCTTCTAACTGTCCTTTAGAAAAACACCAAACTTTTCTCTGCATTCACCTCCAGACCAGAACTGTTGCAAAATTCTTCCAGCTGAGCACATAGATTTCTAAGGCCCCTACCAGCAGATAAGTACTCAGAAATGGATTCAAAAGCTTTGAATAATTCAGTCTTAAAAGCAAGGACGGACCAGAAAATTGTATGAGAGGGGGCGGTTTTGAACAACAACAATATATAGTGGGTTATCATTAGAATTCGAGTGGGGCATTCTTAAGATTTTCAAAAAAAAAAAAAAAAAGAAAGATATTTTCTAAACTTTAAATAAAATTTATAGATAAATGTATTGTTAACTCTATTTGGGAGAGAACAGTTTAGTGAGAAAGTGAAGAACAGCATAAACCATCTCTCTACCAACAATAGGCCAGTATTTTTGGAAAAATCTATTTGGGAACCCATCAGGTCCTGGAGATTTAGTTGGACTGATGGTTTAATTTTATACTTGAGTTTGAAGCATGAAGTTCTTACTAGTATTACTATATTCTTTTTAAAGATTTTGTTTTTGTTATAGTGGAGTTACTTATCCTCAATAATTTATTTGTTTGTCTTTAAATTTTAAGATTTAGTTTGTCTTTATATTTTTTCTTTGATTTTGAATTTTAATTCATTAATTTTGATATTGTTGTGTCAAAACCGTCTAATTAGTTGATTAAAATGGACTCTTTTTTTATTATTTATTTATGCCTTTTTTGTTTTGTTTTGGAGTTGTTATTGTACCATAAGTTTTCTTTAATTTTAGTGACCATGAGGTATTTTTTATGATAGAGTGTGCTTGTTTTGGATCGTTGCTTCGAGTTCTATTTGGAAAATAATTTTTTATTTTTTATTTTTTTTATTGCTATTTTTCACTATGTAGTTATTTTTTTGTATCACTACTTGCAGAAATTGAAGATATATAATTTTGCAAGTTGAAGTTATTTTTAGTAAGCAAAATATTTTTACAAAATTGTGTAAATAAATGGATCTTGCAAAATGAACTTTGAAACACAAGGGGAGACAATATCTAAATGAATTAGACGAACCATCATACATGGGATAATATATTTATATATATATAGACTGCATCCTCTTGAAAGTGAACCTTAATCACCTATAACTTTAATTGAAATCCTTAAAACAAATTATATATGTATGTGTATATAAAAGTTAGATTTGTTATTTGGTGAATAAAATGAAATATTTGTTAAACCATATATATATATTTTAAATAGATAATAGGTTGGATCATTTGGTACGGTAATAATTGACTCCAAACCATAATCTAATTGAATCAAATTGTACAATCCGATTTGGTTCGGACCAATTCGTAAGTCACACTAATTTTTTGTGCATCCTTAGTGCCAATAATTTGGATGTAGTCGTGCAATAACTCATTCAGTATCAAAGTTATTATTATTATTTTTTCTCTAATTAATGAAAATTCAAAATTTTAATTCAATCATTATGAGTTCATTAAATTCATTTTTGTTGAGAAATATTTTAATAAAAATAAATAAATATATATTCAGTTATAATATATTAAATTATATTTAATCTAATCATTTTAATTTTTAATTAATATCATGGATAACTGCTATAATTATTATTCTATATAAAGAAGAAGATTTCTCATTTTTTTTAGAAAAAAGGTGTTTGATATAGAGTGATTAAGACTCTTCTCTCTATTCTATATTTGAAATTCGGCTGAGCTTCGTCAATTCTTCAATTGATTCAAGCCCCTTTCTGGGGACCTTAACAGGTTCGTTTTCCCAGTTTAGCGGCTCTTTTAATTGGTAGGTAGGATGAGGAAGAATGAAGTCAAGCTTTAGGAACTATACTTGTATAGACTTGAACCTAGTCTTTATGTGGTTGTGCACATGGAGGAGATGCAGTTGCGAGCTAATTATGTTGTATCTTGGAGTTGATTAGTTTAACCAATACCCGCATGAAGGGAAGGACTATTAGCTTTAGGTTAATGTGCTTACACATGCCTCAATAATCAACCAAGCACTTTCTTATCTATTTTATTATTATTGTTTTATTTCTTAATTTATATTATTGAGTTAATATTAATATTATATTGCTGAATTATTTATCTTGTTAAATTAATATTCATTGTTATATTCATATTGTTCAAATGATGTAATATTCAGTTTAATAATATAATTGTTATTTGATTATTCATTGGTGGTGGTGTTTATTATCTTGAATCATTGTGTATGAATATTGTGGTTTATATATTTCTATAAATATGTGAATTTCCACAACAGTTTTATCATTTCACTCAAATTAGTGATTTTATATATATATATATATATATATATATATATATATATATATTTGCAGTAGTTTGCCTAACTGAATAATTTTTAATTGGTTATTTATATCAAATACAATTAAATAGAGGGCTCTATTTCTTTATTTACATACCAAATATAACTAAATAGAGAGTTTCAATTCTTTATTTATTGTATAATTGGTCAATTGAAGTACAAAAATCATTTCGCTTTCTTTTAAAAAAAATGTACTTCTAAACTAATGTAACTATGAGTCCGACCTGAACAAAGCTCATTTCAAGATAAAAAATCAAAATCTGTTTTCAAGTTTGTGCCAAGTTCCTAGTCCGCGGTTTCCCAAAGCCTGCGGGCCCAGACCTGGGTTGCCAAAACGGTGGCCCGGCCTATTCCATATAGCAACATAACCAAACAGACCACTAAAAGAACTTTCCAAAAAAAAAAACATAACCAAACAGTCCTTATTCCCAACAGTCACATGCCTGTAACTCAAGCCCAAAGTTCAAATCCACCTCACCAAACCCTCTAAAATTTCGCTTCCCGCCCACCCACTCTCTTCAAAACTTTTGGCCTCCCTTTGTTTATATATTACACGCACCAAAAGCACATATCGATATAGCAAAACCTACATTATCCTCATCCCTCCAACACCCTCTCTACCCTTCGATCCTCAACTCTCCGGTCACTGCAAATGCCGATGACACGAAAGGCCTCGTCGAGCTCGAAAAGATCAAAGGCGGAGACTGTACAGATTGAAGAAGTGGTTTTGATCGAAACTCCTCCAAGATCGGCTCCTTCAAGCAAGTCGAAGAGAAGGCCGGAGAAAAACGAGAGCTCGAGGAAGTCGAAAAGATCAAAGACTTCAGAGACGTCAGAGATTGAGGAAGTTGTTTTGATCGAAAGCCCTCCAAGATCCACTTCTTCAAAGAGAGTTGTTGATGAAAACGAGAAGAAAAGTGTCGATGAAGATGAAAGTAGGTTTATCGGCGAACCAGTGCCGGAAGACGAAGCTCGGCAGAGGTGGCCTCATCGCTATGCCGGAATGGTTCGCTTTCAACCATAATTTGTATATATTTATCTATATACGCTATACATACATACATAATTATATCATATTGTTATTCGTGTATTAAGGTTTTGAAAGTTTTGTTTAGTTGTATAAGATAATGAATCTTTTGGATTACAGAAGAAAGAAAAAGGGATTGCCGGATCTAAAAGCTCCAAAGGGTGGGTTTGTGATCTACATGATATATCGATGATTTTCTACATCTTTATGCGTAGTCCATATGATATCAATCTCTACTTCAAAGGGGAGGTTGAGTATTGTGGGATGTGCATTTTGATGATCTTTCGAAAAGGAAAATCATATTTTTGTTCTCTTTTTATTATTGTTTTTTATTTTTATTTTTGATTTCAATTGGCACAGGAAGGATGATTTAGAGGAGATTATTAAAGCTAAACATCACTTCACACAGGCTGAGATTGATGGTCGTATAATTTTCAACTTAGAAGACGATGCTTACGTGAAAGTAACCTTTTCCCCCAACTTATATTGGTTTTTATTTTTGTAATTATCAGTAATTTCAGTTTTAAAGTTCAATATACTTTATATTGATGTGGTGTATATCAATGTCAATAAAACCAGAAATATTAGGATGGTGATGTCAGCTCAATTATGGAGTTTAGTTAGTGGGTGATGACGTTTATTATATTGGACGATGCTAACAAATCTCTAAGACATTTTAATTGATCATTCAAGATTATTCTTCTACAAAGGAATTGTTTGGAACAAAAAGTATGACTTTTCTGTGTCTTTTGGGACTCTTTGATCCCTGGTAAAGTGTTGAATATCAAGCAATGTTAACTACTATTGCTGAGATAGTTTGGCTACGCTAGTTACTTCTTTTTTTCTTTGTGATCATGTTATGATGTTTTGTGATACTCAGACTTTCAGAGTGCTATTTAGATTGTACATAACTCTCACCATGTGACTTGCCATTTTGTGCCACATCATCTTTGCGACACTATTATCTCCACATATTTTTTCTTCTCAATTGGTTAATTTCTTTTCTCAGAAGTCACACTATTAACCATTTATAAATAAGTTTATAATAGACTATTACTCAACGTTTCTTCCATTGTGAGATTGACAGAGGGTGTTAGAGTGAGTATGTTTACTTTTTTAAGGTTGGATTAGTCATTTCCTTTTTGTTTATATTTTAGGGTTTCCTTTTTTAGTCATTTCCTTGACAGTAATGTATAATCATGGAATATAGCTGCATAATTATCTCTCTTTCTAGAATATTTTTCTTTGTTTGTGACTTAATTTGCATTAGAATTGAATTATTAACATTACAGATGTGTTAATAATTTTAAAATAATATATATATATTTTTTTCCCTAAATGAAGAATTTTTTTTTTTTTTTTGATAAACATAACAATATGATACAGCCATACAGGGAAATCAAGAGGGCATACCCGCAAGAACAACAAACCTTCCTAAAGGAAGGAAAGAAACACAGCAAGGGCATACCCTTGCTAAATAAAAGACAACTTAAAATACTAAGAAATGATGTCCTGGAGGAGGCATACCCCCCAGCACATCCAAGACTTCTCAAAGAATACATTTAGCAAGCAAATCTGGCTCTCTATAGACGGTGCCATGTAATCTATTATTTCTTTCATTCCATAAAAAAATAGAGGTGAGAAAAGCATTCTGCACATCTTGTTCCCGAGACTCTTCACTTCAAACCGCTGGGAAAACAAGTTCACCATTTCAGAAAGAAACTGTATCCTCTGCAAATTCCATTTCATGACATCGCCTAGGTTGTTCCAAACTTGCCAAGCATAACAGCAACAACCAAACATATGCTCCACTGACTCCACCTGCTTGAGGCTTAGTATACACCTAGATGCCAATGAAATACCTCTCCTTTGGAGATTAGTATTGGTTATGACAGACCAGCGAGCTCTTCCACCATTCCAACAGAGGTGAGCCCAATCAACTTGAGATCTCTGAACTCTACAAGCTTCCCATGCTGCTTTAAATGTAAATTGTTTGGACTGCCAATTTATCTGATCTAGATCACCATGAATTTTGAACATCTGAAAGTACTGATGGATAGGTTGAGTACCAGGGCCAAATTTATTGCTATCCCCACTGCTTATTCACCAGAAAATTGCTGAGAAGAATCTGTTTATTAGTACAAAAGTATCTCAACATCGTATGATTAAGTTTCTCTGTTAAAAACAAACCATCACATCAGGGATCTAGGAAGATTTTAATCCCAGTTTCATCACCAATCTTATACCTGCAATTTTGTTTGACAACTTCCCTAACAGATACAATACTCTTCCAAACTGAAGAGTCAGTAACCCTCACCACAACATGCCAGTAGGATGACACATTCCAAACACAACTTTTGTAGCCATATCCAAAAATCTTCAAAACAATTGTAATGACAAAGTAGGTTTAAAATTGACATTATACACACGTTCACTACAAGTCAAACATGCAATTACCTGTTTCCTTATAAGATAAAAATATAATTGTAATGACAAAGTAGGAGTGGTATCATAAATCCTTCCAATATTTGCATAGTTTCATCTTCTAAATTATGCCAAGTTTAATATGAAGGTTATAAGGATAAACTAAAATTTTATAATGATATACACCTAAAAATTGATATTTATTTATTGTCATATCAACTCTTTGTTTTTTGTTTTGCTCTTTCAGGAATTAATGTGTGTGTGTATTCGTGGTGTCTTGTGTCCGCTTTTGTGCTACTTAGCCTCTAGATTACTTACCCCAATGGTTGTGATCAAATTATCTAGGTTGTCCTCCAAATTCTGAATGGAGCTGTCTTCAATCACCCTGCAATATGACGAAGTAAACAATCAAGTGAAAGCAACCTAATTTTGTCAAAACCAAATATATCAAAATTTGTTAGTGTCCTTTTGTTGATTGAAATGAAAGCTAGATTTGATTTCATGGAGTTTGATATTTATGGAACTACACTTTTTAGCTTTTTAATATGTACCCTTGAAACAACAAAAATTTGAGTTGCCACATGTAATTTGTGTCTAGGCTGAAGTGGGCGAAGACAATTATATTGGTAGGATTGTAGAAATGTTTGAGGCAGTGGATGGCTTGCTATATTTCACAGCTCAATGGTTTTACAGGGCGAAGGATACGGTAAGAATTTTAGGCATAGCCCCACGGGTTTGTTCTTTATTTCTTATTCTTAATGTAACAGAGCTTGATTTATTTTTTTCCTTGCTCATCAGGTCATTAGAAACCACTATAGCCTTATTGACGACAAGCGTGTGTTCTTGTCTGAAGTCAAGGATGACAACCCCCTGGATTGCCTTGTTGAGAGGCTTAAAATTCTCATGCTGCCCTTAAGTGTATGGCTGAAGTTACCTAGCACTAGCAGAAAAGCTTACCTGTTACATGGTTTATCTCTAATGAAGCTATTTTGCAGATGGATTTGGCTTCCAGGGAATCAGCAATTTCAAAATGTGACTTTTACTATGACATGATGTACTTGTTGCCAAATTTTTCTTTTGTGAATTTACCAGCAGCAGGTAGTTTCTTGTATTCAAGGACAGAAAGAAGCTCTTGTTGTATATTAATCCAATTTCTTGGGATTTGTTCTTAAAAATGGAAAGCATATTATTTTTTGGGGTTCAGTTATCAGAATTTTTTTGTGTTGCAGAGAATATAGGAGTTGGCAGTGAATCAGATTCAACAATCTCTAGTGAGGCTAATTCAGCTGGAGCAGTAGGTGGAGTTAAGTTTGAATGTGAGGAGGTTTCCCAAGTTCAAGGGATAAAAAATTCAGAGACAACACTATTAGATCTATACTCAGGTTGTGGAGCAATGTCTACAGGACTTTGTCTTGGCGCTAATATGGCTGGTGTCAATTTAGTTACTGTAAGTTTACTTCCTTTTTTTCCATGCAATATAAAACAAATTTTAAATGTGAATGGTGGTGAATACATTAAGCTACTATCTTTTCTTCTTATATTGTTTTGGTTAGTGATGAACTCTTTTACTTGTTTTTCTAGAAATGGGCAGTTGACTTGAATGAACATGCCTGTCATAGCCTGAAACTTAATCACCCTGAGACCGAGGTATGTTTTGCAGCCAAACAATTTCACTTGTTCATTTTATCAATTACTGCATAATTTTGAAATTCTTGCATTGATTCACATTTTAATACAGGTGAGAACGGAATCAGCTGAAGACTTTCTCACTCTTTTGAAAGAGTGGCAGAAGCTTTGCATTTCATTTTCCTTGATAGGGAGTAAAGATTCACAGGAACATGTGGATATTATAAGCGGGCTGGATGATGATAGCGACAACGATGAAGATGTAGATATTGATGATGGAGAAGATGGTTTGGAAGTATTTGAAGTAGATAAGGTTTTAGCAATCTGTTTTGGAGATCCAAAAGAAATTAAGAAGCCAGGATTGCATCTTAAGGTACTTATTTTACTTATCTCTAGTTAAAAGGAATTCTAACTAGAATTCTCACAAGGATTTTTGTACCAAACACGTGCTAGATTGGATATTAAGCTAAAACAGATTTATTATTACTTGTTGATATTTTGGTATAGTATTTAATTCAAATTAGTCTTTAATTAATGATGAAGTTTGTCTATAGCCTTATTATATAGTTAATATATCACACATTGTATCACAAATTATCTTTGTTATATTACTTAGATATTATCTTTGCTAGAACAGATTTAATCATTCTCCTTTTATAATTTTAGATTCGTTGGAAGGGTTATGGTCCGGATGAAGACTCATGGGAGCCTATGGAAGGTTTAGGGTATGGAAGTAAAGTCAAAATTTGTTTTATTCTATGCTTCATATGCCAATTGAAAATTAATATCTTATAATCAATTTTATTCAATAGTGATTGTCAGCAGAAGATAAAGGAATTTGTGGAAAATGGTTATAAATCAAAGATTTTACCTTTGCCTGTAAGTCATCAAAATGAATTATCATTTTATTATTCATATATAATTGTTTTAGGCACTTACTCTTATTAACATTTTTTTTTTCTTTATCCCATAGGGCAATGTTGATGTTGTATGTGGGGGTCCCCCATGTCAAGGGATAAGTGGTTTTAATCGGTTTAGAAATAAAGAGAATCCCTTAGAGGATCTAAAAAATAAACAACTAGTTGTTTTTATGGATATAGTTAACTTTTTAAGGCCAAGATATGTGTTAATGGAAAATGTGGTAGACATTGTTAAGTTTGCGGGTGGATTTCTTGGAAGATATGCTTTGGGCCGGCTTGTTGGGATGAATTATCAGTCACGGGTGGGTTTGATGGCGGCAGGGGCGTTTGGACTTCCGCAATTTCGTATGCGTGTGTTCATATGGGGTGCTGGTCCAACAGAGGTGATTTTATCAATTTATTTATAATTTTAAGCTTACCTTGTGCTCTATATTGATTGAATATTATTTGTACGTAGAAATTGCCTCAATATCCGTTACCAACACATAATCTTGTAGTGAGGGGTAATATTCCTGTCGAATTTGAGGTATGATTTTACAATTAATTTTCCCATTTAATTCTGACTTTTGCTGCTGGTTTTATAATAAACTCCTATTTTAATGTAGTCATGCACAGTTGCTTATGAAGAAGGATGCAAAGTTGAACTTGAAAAGGAATTACTACTTTGGGATGCAATATCTGACCTCCCTCCTGTATCTTTATAAACTAAATTTTTAGTATTCTGTGTTTTTCTTCTTCTATTTGATTTGACCTATGTTTTGTACTCTATTTATTTTAACAATTTTTTTTTTTGTGCATGTATGTTTTAGGTTGAAAATGATGAGGCACGTGATGAAATGTCTTATGGGGGTGAGCCTGAGACTGAATTTCAGCGATTTATTAGATTAAGCAAGGATGGTAAAGTTTTAACTGTGTGTAGTTTTAACTGTATATACACAAACACACACACACACACACTAATTCAGCTCATTGTTCTTGAGAAACCTCTTGATTGATGCTTGAATAGAGTTTCTTAATTCAGCTCCTTTACCTCAATAATATATAAGGAATTGAAAGCTCCAGTGAGAGATAAACTAGATTAAGCTCCATCCTTATTATCTTCCATGGTTTTAGATTAATGACTCATAACATTAACACAAAACAATCCAAGTTTTGAGTAGAAAATTGCCGACACATGACATAACTCTAACAATTATCTATATAAAGCATGCAAGTTTAAGTAGCGCACACAAAAATCCATGGATGCATGGGTTCCCAAATTTCATTTCATATCCTCCTACGTATTCCAGTGCCTGCACAATGAAGCCTAAGTTTCAACTCTAAGGTTGGAGAGATGGGTAGAATGATAGAATGTTATGAATGCAAGAAACGGAAGGATAAATTTGAGAGGAAAGTGAGAAAAGGGAAAGAGAGTGGAGTATATGGATTTCTGCATTTCTATTTACATTTTCTAGGTAGATACACCATGCAGCATGTGCTATATAATGTGTTGCCCTAAGGTAGCTTCCTTTCTTTATACTCCAATGGATGTACGATGAAGTATTAATTTGGTTTTTAAGGCATGGAGAAGGGAGTAAGTATGCATGGGATGAAGCATAAGTAATCCTATAGTGAATGAGGTAAAAGAAAGGGAATTAACCTAATTGCGATGATCTTCAACTTACCTGTCTCGATCCTTTCTTCAACCTTTGGATGCTTGGAAGAGCCCAGCTAATGTCTTCATGCCATTTTTTGAGAAATTGATGGAAATTTATGGAAAGTGACAGAAAAATGGGGAAAATTTTAGATAGTTGGACCTTATATTTCTTTGCCCTCAAGAAAATGAAGTGTTATATTTTCAATTCACAATTATTTTGGATATAATTGTCATCTGATATAAAAATTCAAAGAATTTTCTATGGTGTCTCATTTTTAGTGGCTAATCCGATGAAATTTTTGTGATCTTGCAAATGGACATTGATTTAAGTGATTGATGTTTTGTAGTCATTAGGTATAATTGTGGGGAGATTGTGTTGCGTTTGAATGTTCATGTTTTCAATTCTATTGGTGTTGATGGTTAGGATTACCCTTGTTTTCTTTGGATAATTATCAGCTTCTTATTTAGTTCCCTTTCATATGCCAATCACGAGGCATATATTGGTTAACATTTTATGTAATTTAGTTTCATTTTTTCACTTTAGCATATATATCATCTACAACACAAATGGTAGTTGTCTAAACTCAGTTTCTATTTTTTAATCTTTTGATATAGTTCTTCATTTTTCATGTAGGGGAAGAACTTCAAAAGCATGCCTTGTTTGATCATCGTCCTCTTCAATTAAACGAGGATGACTATCAACGTGTTTGTCAAATTCCAATGAAAAAGGTTTGGCTAGCTTTACCTCCAATATTGGTTTAAAATGGTTTTGAAAATGTTTCAATCCCTCTTGATTTGCTACCTTCATTTCTTTATGTACTGTTTTCTTAGGGTGCAAACTTCAGGGATTTGAGAGGTGTTAGGGTTGGTGATCATAACAAAGTTGAATTGGATCCAAATTTTGAAAGGGTGTACTTGCCTTCGGGAAAGCCTTTAGTAAGATTTGCACATTTATATTTTGTTACTTTTAAGTAGTTTTAAGCATTTGTGGCTAGTTCTTACTATGTTGCCCGTAATGATAGGTTCCTGATTATGCATTGACTTTTGTGAGAGGGATTTCAACAAAGTAAGTAGTAATTAATTATCAGCAACTTATTTCTTTTTAGTCGATTTCATTTTTAGATTCTAATTTTGTGCAATTATTAGACCATTTGGACGGTTATGGTGGGACGAGACTGTGCCAACGGTTGTTACAAGAGCTGAGCCCCACAATCAGGTATTTTTCTCCTTAATGTCACCGGTAGCATATACATAGGCAATTCATGTATGTGTTCACTATCTAACTTCATTTATTGAATATCTTGTTAGACGATTTTGCATCCTTCACAAAGTAGAGTCCTTACCATTCGTGAAAATGCTAGACTACAAGGTTTTCCTGATTACTATAAGCTTCTTGGCCCAATCAAAGAAAGGTAACTATGCTGAACAATATTGATTTTATAGTATATTTGTAATCTCGATGTCGTAATTCAATATTTTCAAATTTGAAAACTCAGTGTTACCTTCTTCGTTATTTTCACTTTTTGGTAAATTTTAATTGAGAATTAAGTGAACACTTTCTTGGAAAAGGAACTCACTAAACATTTGATTGTTAATTTTCTTGATCTTGTCGGACAATTTCCTTCTATATGTAATAGTGTTATGTGTTGTGGTGGCGCAAACAATTTAACTATAATCCCACAAAAAGTCTCTAGAGAATTACATCTCCATATACGGTTTTAGGTATCAACTCTAGAGTTCATTTGACAAACCTTTGACTATGAAAGCCTCTTGGTCATAGTAATTTTCAAGCTTAAACTACTGAAACACCTCAAGAAGCTTGCTAAACAAACATCTCTGAACTTTTATCATCGATTCAAGTAAAAATAGTTTGACTAGCATCTTGCCAATAGGTGCTGGACAATAAGCCTCTTGATTATGAATACTTCGTAGTACAATAAATGACACTTATCAAGTTATACACTAAGCTGGTAGAAAATGAAGAGAGCATACTCGAACAGAAGTCTTGAATCCTTTGTCTCCAAGCTGGTGACAACTCTTTTTTCTCTTTTAAATCATTCAGTTCAAGAGTGAACAGAAAAAAAATGATCTACAGTATAAAGTCAGCCTATTGTCACGGGCTTAAAGTTTCAGCACCACTTTAGCTGCTCCCGTGCGGCACCAAGACGTTGCTTCCACTCTCGTAAGTACTTGGTCAGCCTAATTCCCGTGCACACCTTAGCCAACACACTCCCCTCGTGCGCTTCTAGTGTTGTAGTTGCACTCGCCCTCTCCTCACTTGGCTTGCACACTCACACACACTAAGACACTTAAGTTGGCAAGGAAAGAACACTTCTATTACTTCAAAGAATGCTTTGTACAAGGCTAGCACTCAAGCTCTCTACAAGGCTCTCAAGACTCACTCTAGGACTTGTTGGTTGCAAAATGAAGTCCTACTCCTATTTATAGGCATCCCCATCCCTAATGGATGGCTAGGATGCATTCTAACCAACGGTGGAGATTGATTCTCTAGAATCTTCTTCCACCTTCTACACATCTCCATACATATCTACAACATTCTAGAACCCTCCATACTACTCCACACAATTCTGGAGAATTCTAGAACCTTCCACACACTTCTAGAATATACTACACATATCTAGAATCTTCCACACAACTCTAGACTACTCCGGAAGACTCTAGAAACTCCACTTGCCATGCAGCGTCCTCCTCAGCGTCTGCGTGTCGCCTGCGTGGTACAACCTCCATAGGCGGGGCGTGACACTATGGAGACATAATTGAAGGTGTGATCAAAATGTCAAAATTGAGGTTTTATCCCTTTTCTTCAACTTGTTAGGCTGCAACCCTATTAACTAACTAGGTATGGATGTTCACATTCATCTCAAAAATCAGGCCCTCAAAACTTTATTGCTTCCATTTCAGCCATCTCCACTAGTGAGGAAATTCAATTTTGCATGTTTTCCCTCAACGGTAGCGAAGTCTCTCGGGTCCCCATTTTCCCCAAAAACCATGGCCTATTTTAGGTAGAATAATTACCTAATCTACTAGAGAGTTTTTCTCTAATGACAAGCTTCTAAAATCTGTTAATTGCTTATGCATAGCCAAGGTTCCTGAATGCCCTAACCCTTCTTCCATGAATGGCAATGCCAATTTCATGCTGCAAATGTGATTATAAATGTGTATCAAAGCTTCTTGCAACTAAAATGAAGCCTATTATTCCTTTTATCATTGATATCACTCGAATAGCCTTTGTTTATGGTAGGAAACTTAGTGATAGCATTCTCTTTTCCAAAGAATTGTTGTGAGGCTACCAAAATTTTCTCCCCTCCTAGACGTGCTTTCAAAATTGACATTAGGAAGACTTCTTAGTGTGGGGTGGTGCTTCTTGATTGACACCCTCTCCTTGGCTTTCCTTCTAATTTCGTAGATTGGACCAAAGAAAGCATAACCTCTCCATTAATTTCCATTTCCCTCATTGGTGAATTGTGTGGTCCTTTTAGAGGAGTCAAAGTTTTAAGACAATTAACATACATTCTATCTATCCCACCTTTTAATCTAATTTTCTTTGGAACTTCAATTTTCCTCCGGCTTGATTCTCTTTTCATAGTGTACCCTACATCTAGAATTCAATAAATCTAGCATTACCTGTCTATGATATCCATAATATAAACCAGAATTCCTTGTCATTTCATGTGAAAGAGTCACTGATTGTTTAGAACCACAGTGATGCTTTTTCAGTATTAGGTTTGGTTTTTCCGTTAGATTGCTCCCCAGTGCCCTTTCATTTTGGATCTATTAGCTATAGGCATCTTCACATCCTCATCCGAATCAAATGAGAATTCACTGATGCTGTGTTTGGGAGTACCGAATCAATGCTGTGGAATTGAAATTGAATTTTTTTAGTTCAAATGCAACATAGAGTGGTGAAAAATGAAAAGCAATAATGTTTTCAGAGTAGATGAAGTAGATTGTGCCAGATACTATAACATTTAAGGAATCTCAAATAAAATTTCCTAACTTTAAACCATGGTTTTGGCCTCATGAACATTAAGATTTGTGTGGTTTCATTGAATAGAATTAATAGATGTGGTTTCATTGCTTTGCTCTTTGAGGGTAGCAAGGTTTTACCATTGGGCTAATGGCTCATTGGTGAGTAATCTTGATGGTTATCCAAGGGCATGTTCTGGATAAATATCCTAGACTACTCTTTAAATAAAGGATCAAACGTACTTTAGATTAACAAAATATTAGTTAGGTTTTAAAGCGCTAATACACTCCTTTGTCTTCCATCTCTATCAAGTGAAGGTGAAATATCAATTTGAAATTCTAAGTTCTCTAAATAACTGCCCTATTATGTTATAGCTGAAAATAATCTTTGGTGCTGCTCTGACCATCGTTCAACATTTGTTTCAGATACATTCAAGTTGGAAATGCAGTTGCTGTTCCTGTTGCTCGAGCTTTGGGCTATGCCTTGGCTTTGGCCTTTCAAGGTTCAAGTGGTGAAGAACCTTTGTTTAGTTTGCCTAAGAAATTCCCTGTCTTAAAAGAGTATGATGATTACGTTGTTCGAGGGACCGGTACCAGAAACCAAACAAGAGATGGAATGTAAGATGCGCCCTACTCAAAGAGACTGAACACTGATCATCAGGCATTCCATCCTTGCACTGTTGTTTGGGAATTCATATCGGTCAAGTTGCATTGTTGAAATGGACCTTTGGCCCCTCTTTGATTCATTCAAGTCCGACGCTATTGGTACTCCCAGCCTGAAAGCCAAACCCAATATTCGCCCCCTTTCTCCTCGGTCCACAAGAGACAATGTAGGACTGGTGCCAACAGTTCATCACGGAAGAAACATGCAATGATACACTTATCGCCCATTTATCATATATAATTTATTTTTATTTTATTTCTCTATTCTATTTGGATAGTGTACTCATAGTTCCACTATTGATTAAATATTTGATTGTTAATTTTCTCCTATTTGCAATACTGTTGTGTGGTGTGTTATTTGCAATACTTTGAAGGTTCACGAGAAGTCACTAGAGAAGTACATGTCTCCAGCCTAGACTTTAATAAGGAGCGCATCAAATTTTAGGTATTAACCCTGGAATTTTTTGACAGACCTTTGGAGCCTCCTGGTCATGGTATTTTTCTGGTAGGATGCATAGACTGTAATTTTTTTTGGCACTTATATTAGAGGCACAACTATGTTTCAAGCTTAAATTGCTGAAACTTCCATCATTCATTCAAGCAACAAGAACTAAAAATCTTTCCAATAAGCACGGGACAATAAGCCCCTTGAATCTGAACACTTTTGATAGAAGACAAGTTACTTATTGAGTCATACGCCAAGCTGGTTGAAAATGAAGACAGCATGCTCAAACTGATGTCTTGGATCCTTCGGCTCCGAGCCGGTGACAACTTTCTCTTTTAAATCATTCAGTTCTGGAGTGAAAAGAAAATAGATCAGCAGCAGCAGAATATGAGTGTTTCTAATTATTAGATAGTGCCAGATGCTGTAACATTAAAGGAACCTCAAATAAAATTTACTATCTTTCAACCATTGTTTCGGCCTCTTGAACATTAAGATTGTGGAGCCATTGAATAAAGCCATCCATGACAGCCTCTGTCTGAATTTAGTAAACCATTTTTCTAACATTTTGTTGTTCATTTATTAGCTATTTAGTAAATTGGTGCCAAGCAGATGCAAAAAGCTATGAATTTGTGAAGCCTGGGCTAAAGATCAGTGGGAAAATACAAAAAGTAGATTGCTCTATGAATTGGGGGAAAATGGGAAAACAATATATTAATTTACATAAATAAGAAAGATATATATATATATATATATATATATATATATATATATATATATATATATATTAACATAAAAAGTGTTTTTCTTCTAAGTTTCAACTTTCTGTACTCTCCATATCAAACTATTGAAAAAATTTCACCATAAACTAAATATCTGGTAAAAAAAACAAAAGATTTTTTTTTTTTTTTTTTTAAATTTTTTTCTTATTCCACTTTTATTATTTTCCTTGGTATACTAATCATTCTTTCTTCCATAAAAAAAATGGAGAAAAAAGAATTTATTGTTATTCCAATTTTATTATTTTCCTTGGTATACTAATAATTCATTTCTTCCATAAACAAAGGGAGAAAAAAAAAAAGAATTTATTTATTTTATTCCAATTTTATTTTTTCCCTGGTTATATTAATAGTTATTTTTTCCTTGTTAAATTAATAATTATTTTCTTCCATAAACAAATAGAGCGAGAGAGAGAGAGAGAGAGAAAAGTGTTTATATTTTTTAGTCCAATTTTATTATTTACCTTGGTATACTAATTATTCTTTTCTTCCATAAACAAATGGAGAAAAAGAATATTATTTTTATTATTCCAATTTTATTATTTTCCTTGGCATCAACAATATTTTTTCCATAAACAAATGGATAAAAAATAAAAAATAAAAATAAAAATTTATAAAAAAAAAAAAATCCAAGGGAAAAAAATAAAAATAAAAATGAAATACACTCTATGTTAGCCCTAGTATGGACATGTGTTTTGTCTTTTGCTACCCACATGTTTCAGGCTAAATTATCCAATATAGGTTAGAGAGGCGAAATTGAAAAATTATTGAGAACCCAAAATCTGAGCAGAGAAGAGGGAGCAAAAAAAAAATGGGGGATGGAAAGCAAGGAGTGATGGTAGTGGAAATGTCGAAGGGATTGGTGAGTCCACAGAGTCAGAACCCAATAACCCAATTGCAAGCCAAGTTCAAGGAATTGGAAATTGGGTTCAGGGCGTGGTTGGCCAAGCAGTCTCTGCCCGTCGAGGCCGCCGTCGTCACCGCCACCAGCGCCGCCCAGGGCGCCGCCATCGGTGCCTTCATGGGTACCCTCACTGGCGACTCCGCCTCCCCCTTCCCCACTCCTCCTCCTCCTCAAGGCGCCTCACTCAGTCCCCAAGCCATGGCTTCCTTCCAGCAAGCCCAGGTTCATTCTTACCTCTTCATGTCTATCTATACCATATACACACATGTATACATACATATATATATGTATGTGTGCATTCGTCTTGTAGACTCTATACACAGCTGCATATGTTGTTGATGCTATTATTGACTCCATCAGTTGATTTTTGAGTTTTTATTTCCGGAGGAGCTCTTTTGTTTTTCTTAACCTCGTTTGCTAGAATGATTAATTAGTTATTTTGAAATCCCAGATTTTTCTTTTTAGTGTATTTTATTGTTGGATTGTTTAGTATGTATAATTTGGAGCGATGTTACTTTTTATTGGTTAGAAAGATGATTTTTTGTCATTAGGGTTAGGCACTGGTAGCTGAATGATTAACTTTGAATTGATACAGCAAAATGAAATTGGATTCTATGCTTGCTTATATCAAATTCTATAGAAATAAGGAATTTTCTATTATCATACGATTGGTATCAAATTCTATTGAATTGAGGATATTTCCATTATCATATGACTGGTTCAAAATCTCAAGTTCATTTTGAGGTTTGTATACCGTGTACTTGTGAACTCGAGGTTAGTGGAATTTTACACATAACGTTATATGGTTGATATCAAGGAACCAAACCATGAAATTGGAATTAGGGCCTCTAATTTTAAATCCAAGAACATAATCCGATTCTCTGCCTGTCAATAATCAGATTTTCCTGATATGTAATGAATGGCTTAATTTGCCTGCAGGCTCTTGCAGGGGGTCCATTGGTACAAGCCCGCAACTTCGCTGTTATGACAGGTGTTAATGCTGGCTTATCTTGTGTCATGAAAAGATTAAGAGGCAAGGAGGATGTGCAGTCCAGGTGAATCCTTGATTGCTTTTTTATTCTGGCTCTTCTTGTATGATCATACACTCTGTTTTAGGATCTCAAATGTAGATTTTTTTCATATATTGGTGGCATTTCAATATGTTGGCATTCATTTGGTGATGATGGGAACTGGTTTGACTTGATATTATCCGTCTTGTCATTGGAAAATAGGGTGATGTATAAAGCAAAAGCATCATAAATCCCAACAAATTTTGAAATTTTTAGGCATAAAAAGCGAAGCATGCATTGCCACAGTCACATTGCTAAAAATTATAATAGGTAGAAGAGTCTACTGCCTTGTTGGTTAATCACTTTATTGTTTGGCACTTGGGTATCAACATTTGTAATAAACACTAAGCATTATCTTCTCTTAACTATTAACAACATCATAATCACCCTCAGTTACATTTCTGTTTCCAAATCGGTAGCCGTAAAACATATATGAGTACAAACCATTAGGATAATAATGGGTTGATCATATATCAACTTACTGGCATTAGGAGATAACTAGCATAGCATATCTGCTTCTGGGGGTTCTGCCATTTGGGGTCATTACGTAATTCAGCCATTTACTCTCTCTCTCTCTCTATATATATGTGTGTGTGTGTAGGTATATAATTGTGTTTATGTCATACATTTGTTTTTAGACATGTGACTGTGCCATCTTAATTTTTTCGTTCCCATTTGAACAGAAATGAATGCTTAGGTAAAGCTGAGCGTAGCTGAAGAAGCATATATAATTTGTGCGTTATTAATTTGTAATATAGCAATGAGCTTCTGCAATTGTTGGTTTTGGTTTTTGTCATGCTTGCCAGTTACCAGAAATTGAAGTCTTGCTAGAATTTTGGATTTCACCTGAGCGTGCCTGAATCATTCATATTCTGTTGATATTTATTAATCTTTATAGAGAATTGTTGAGATTTTATCTCTTATAGTACAGCTGTAGGATTGAATTATTTACTCCTTGATTTAGGGCTAATTGGTAGGTAATTTGTTACCTATTTTAGCTAATCCTATTTTATAAATTGGATGTAATACTCATCAATGAATTATCAAATAGAGTTTTTAATTCTCATATTCTTTCTCTGAATTTAAAGAAGAATTCCATGTGAACTTACTTTATTTAAAAAAATATGCATTTTCTGCTTAGAAGCAAGATATTGTAGGAGCAGATAAAATTTCGAACCGATTAAGTTTCTCCTTGTAGCAGTTTGGTTTCCAGACATATATTGGTAATGATTCTTCATTGTTCATACAAATCCAAGAATTTAAGCATTCTAAAAATAGTTTTATCTTCTTCTAATCTCTTTCAATTGAGGAGGATGTTAGCCGAACTTATGATCGGCCTTTTTGTTTGCAATGTACTAAATAAATCTAGGCAAATTAGTTTCAATTTTCTAATTTGTATTTGACATTTCGATGCATTCATCTATATGTCTATCATCTAACAAAAATAATTGTCATTGGAATGTCTGACAACTTACCTAGATGTCGACTGACATATTCCTTATTGATTTTTTACGTTAATGTTATTATAGATTGAAAAAGTGCCTCCTCTTTTAGACGTACTAGATTATTGTTTAATGGTACTTGGGTCTCATCCTATTGGTTACTTGATATTGAATTCTGAAGGCTGAAATCAGTTGAATCTGGATTAATAATATCTGTCCAAGATTCTGGCTGTCGCTTTATATTTGCTTTTTTGAGTTTGATGAGCAAACGTGGGTCCTTTGATGTAAAATTTCTTGCTCTTAAGAAGTGTCTTAAAAAGTGGAAGACAGTGTATCCTGTCTCTGGTAATTGTGACTCAGATGGTTCTCTCATACCCATATATTGCATGGGTTTGCGTGGCACATGTCACCGTACAAGGGCAATGGAGTAGGGTTTGTGTTTATATTGAATTTCTCCAATGGAATTCTAACTGTTCACGAAGAGCACATGCGAGTGAAGTATGTGCATAGTGGATTGTTTGTAGAATATTGTAAGATCATGTGGGAGTTCCAAGTCTAGTTCACTGGAATATATGTTTACAAACATGTAGGTGTTGGCTGTGCGTCTCTTTGCATTTAAATCAGGTTTGTCGATAAAATTGAGCATGAAGATTGTTAACCCCGAGGAATTCTTTTTCAGGAGGTTTAGACTTCCTCTTCTCCTCAAAATAAGACACCTTAACAGAATTACTGAAGAAATACATAACATTGGTAGTTGATAGTGGTATTTTGTGTGGATATATGTATATATTAATCTATATTATGCTATGTAGTATTAAACACATTACATTGGCAGTTGAAACTTGAGAGTGGTATTTTGTGTGGACATACATATATTTTTATGTATATTATGCTATATAGGATTATAAATATTGGTACTAAGACCGAATATTAAGCCCTTTATATTATCCCATAGTTCTGATTTCAGTATAATCGATCTCCTAGAGGGCAAACTAGTGCTGATCATGCACTACGATTAGAGATGCAATGACGGTCAATTTCACTAATAGTTTATATTTTCATTTTGGTACATGAATGGTTTTACTTGAAACTTGCACTTGAAAACAAGAATGATATTATTTAACATGGTTGAGTGGTATGTTTGTGTTTCTTTGTCACCAAGCTCAACATATACCATGACTTTGTAAAAATTAAATTATGTAACGAGAATTCATACTGAAAAAGATAGAGATTAAAATGAGAATCTGAAAAAAATTATTTTGGCAAATTTTCAAAGTCATCGACCAATCAAGCATGTAGAAGAAATACAATGCACTGGGTATATAGCTCATTATTCAACTATATGTTGCTAATTTTTATTTGGATTGCATACTGGTTGTTCGAGCTTACTATCCAATACATATTTATGTATTAGTTGATGATTTTTATTAGGATTGCATACTGGTTGTCCGACCTTTCTATCCAATGCATATTTATGTATTCTTCTGCTTAATATTTGGTTGCTTTGATGATCTTTCTTGCCTTGTCTTTACTTTTATGCCAATATATTGGTTTGAGATTATTAATTTGTCATTGCAGTATGGTGGCAGCTTTTGGTTCTGGAGCCATGTTTTCACTAGTGAGTGGCATGGGTGGACCAAATCAGGCAGCCAATGTTATCACATCTGGCCTTTTCTTTGCTCTTGTTCAAGGTGGACTTTTCCAGGTAATAATAAAGAGTAAAAAAAATTATCGCTTTGAATAGCACTTTCTTTGCTATCATGCAAAAAATTTCAACTCAATAGCTATTAATTTCTGTAACACATTCTGCAATCTATATTTTCATATTTGTTGGTTTTATACATGACCTATCTGTGTGGTGCAGTGCATGTGCTTATTGACTTCATATGGAGTTTTGGGGTTTTTTTGGTAGTTATGTTTATGTTGACTAATTTGTTGTAGTACCAACCAATAGATATTTGATCATAGGTGTTAGCATTATGATGTATATTTGTAAGCCAAAATTGAACTACACAAGTGGCATGGTCCTTCTGAAATTAGAAGTGTATTTTAAAACTAAAAGCTTGGTTTTTGAGAATTGGCATGTCAAATGCTTGTCTACGTTATATTTGTGTCCACTTGTATTTGACATCTGTTTAGACACATTAGAGAAGAGTCTGCCTTTATAACTGAATGAGAATAGAAGAACGAGTTAATTTTCAATATTGTTACGGAACTTGTTAAAAGTTCTCATGATCCTTACTATTTTATTCACGCTAGTTTTCTTATCCATGGACATTAGTTTCTCAATTTGAGGAACCGTCTGTCTTTAATTAAATAGTAATAAGTATGTAGTCGTGTTCAATTCTCTAATTCTGAGCTTCTGTGTTGGAAAGTTTTGTTGGAGAGAGAGATGAGAGATAGGTATCAAATATAAATTTGGTTCAACAAATGTGAGAATTAACCAAGCATAAACCTGACGAGGGGTGTCTATGCCCTAGACATGAGGGAGGATAGTGAGAGAGAAAAGGTATCAAATATGAATTTGGTGCAACAAATGTGAGAATTAACTAAGCATACACCAGTCGAGGGGTGTCTATGCCCTAGATCTGAGGGAGGATATTGTTAAACCATCTGCCTAAGCTGCGGGGTAGAAGTTCTTTTGCCTATAAGTAAAGAAGCTTGCAGTCCCGCTCCCTCTCCATGATTTCCTTGCAGGCTTGGATCAGGGTCCATAAAAGGTGAGCTTCCTATGTGTTTCCTGATAACAACACAATAGCAATTTCTGGATCTGATTCCACCAAACCATCCATTTCCCAAATGAGACCATGATAATTCCTCAAGGTTCAGCAAGAGTACTGAAGTAATGTTACAAGTCTAGGGAGAAGAGCCCTTTGGCGATCTGCCAGCACCATCTCTCATAATGCCTCCAGCTTCAGCTTGGCCTGTGTTGTCCATAGAACAGCCATCAATACTGTGTTTAACCCATCCCGGAGGGGGAAAATCCAAATTATAAATTTGTCCACTATAGATTTGTTAGCGGACATGGTTAGCACAGAAACACATTCCCTTGCAAGGTTGGTGATAGCACCCAAAGGTATGGGTTACTGGTTTAACCAGCACTCCCTATAGTTTTCATAAATCAAATGCTTTTTGGTGAGGGTTTATTAAGGGGTTTAAGACCCACTAAGAGCCAATTTCCTGTCTGGACAGTTCTACTGGCAGGGCCGTACCATCCTTTGAAACATTGGCTTGGTAGTGTTTTCTGTATTGAAAAGAATATGGTTGGAGTGCCATTAAAATGTTATGCATGGGATTGTTATAGAGAAGAGGAAATACATGTCCAATTAACGGACACAAAAATTCTCATATTTACCTTTGCAGATTGGGAGACTCCCACCTGAATGAATGTCTTCATAAGGAAGGCATGATGTAACATGTATTTACATGATTATTATATTTTTGCACACCTCATTTGCTGTATGGTCCTGCTGAGCCAGATGAAAACTTTGTCAAGAATCAGCATTGTGTTTGCGTTGGTACTTACAATGCTAAGAGCACTTTCCATGTGATCATGGCTCATGCAGCTAGGGCAGAAGTTCTCTCAACCACCAGCCGAAGATATCTTTTATAACAAAACACGATGCATGTTGACAAACCTGGGCCTCCAGAATTATGAGAAGAATTTCAAGAGAGGCTTGTTAACTGACAGCACATTGCCTTTGCTGACAGATAGGCAAGTACTCGGACTTTTCTTTTTCTTTTATCTTATTTATTTATTTATTTTGGTTATGTAAATACTCACGCGCGCCCACAAATGCCCATTTTGTGGCTCGAACGCCTCACCTCCCCTTTGAGGGGAGAGAGATTATACCAGTTGGGCTAATGGCCCAGTGGTATCTTTCACGTTGTGAGTAGATATTATCATTATAAGTAGTAGTAGTTAAGATGTTTCAATCAATTAATTAAGACGCTATGTGTGGGTGCTGATGATTGCCTTCTCACTGATTGGCAAGTGATTGGACCTTACTCGTGTCTCACACCCTACGATCAATTATTGATTGTGTCAGTGCATTCTGATGATTTTCATTTGCTATGATTGTGTTTCAGTGCTCTAAGAGATGTCAAAATCCCTCCTGGACCAAGGCTCCTCATTCTTGATCACATTGAGAGGTCTGAACCATGCTCCATATGAATAATTTTTTCTGCTCTTAATTTTAAGGTAACTCTCAGAAGTGACTGGATTTCTGTCTTTAGGGACCCGGAGCTGAAAGGAGGAAGAGGGCGGCATAGTTGAACTGCTGCCACTGGACTGGTCTGTTGCCCAAAAACGTTACACATCTGTTCTTCAGGAATAGTTTATATGCTTTCTGTACGTAGAGATAACGGCATTTTTTTGTCGGTTTAGCTTATATTCAAGTTGTTATTGGGTTGCATGGTGTTAGACCCTCTTGGTAGACAGTTTGCTATAGCTTTATATCCTGCTTCTGAATAGTTTGAATTGCAAGAAATGGACAAGTATAGCAGAGGCACGTGATCGTTGAATGTTTTAATATCACAATTCCTCAATACTATCTGTTTCTTCCATTAACAAAAAACAATAATAAATTCACATGGATGTCTATTGTTCAGGGCCGGAAAATTACCATGTGGCAAATTTCCACAATTCCGCTCGCTTACAACATCCTAATTGCGATTCTTGCCATGGCCGCCCGTTCTGCTTCCAAGTATCTCTTAAATTCTCTCTTCCGCAACCATTTCATGAATTGGTTCTTCTTTTTCTTTTCTTATTTCTTACAAATAACTTCCACAATGCTCCCGAAGATTTGTACTCTCCATTTTTCGCTTTGAAATGTGATTATACCTTTGACTCGCATGGCTTGGTATGGATTGGTTATTTTCTTTATCGGGAAATTTCTACCTTTTGCTGCTGTTTTGGATTTTGATTGAAACTGAGTTAAAAATAAATAAAAAATGTTTTGTATTTTTGTAGATAAATATTTTTGATAACCATAAGTAGCTTATTGACTACTGAGCATGGGCAACTTTATGAAATTGATTAACTGCTTTGGCAGCATTTCATTTCTTCTTAGGGTTAATTTCAGTAACACCCTTTCAGGTTTGACTAAATTTCACAAAGAAACATCTTTCGAAAATAAGTATCACTTAGACCCCTAATTACTTTTTCGTCTCTAACATCGTTAATAAAATATGAATGGACATTTTTACCCTCATTTATTATTGTATCTTAATTCAAATTATTAAAAATCTAAAATGATTGAACTACCCTTATTAATTGCTCTGACCTACAAATCTCTCTCTCTCTCTTGACTTTCACCTTTTGATCTCTCTCAACTCATCTCACTAACTCACATTTGTCTCTCTTTCATATAACCTTCCTACCCAAAACTATAAAACTCTAACACACCTTTAACGTTGATATCTCTCAAGAATTGTATATATATACATCGTGAATGTATATTGCATACGGATGGCCGCAAGTCACCCCTCTCGAATCAGGACATACCAAAAGGGGGCTCAAAACCCAAAACTGCTACCAGGCCAGTGCAATATTCTCTTTACAATCACCTATCCTTTTGCTATCTTGTTGGCCCAAAGGTTTATTACTTTGTTGATCCTTCATTACTAGCTTAATGTCACGATCCGATTCCTAACGACGCCATGAGCATAGAAGACACGCATGCTGGTTGGCTAAGAACATTCATTGATTGGGAATGGTTCCAGGGAAGGGGCGCGCAGAACCACAAGATAGTACCTCTTCAGAGTTCAGGCAGGTCGACTCGGTTCAGTTCGAGGTGTTTGTCGCTAGTCGTGGACTTGACTATGAAGAAGGGAGTTGGCCATCCCTGCACAAACTGGTCGGAGCTGGAGCCGTTCCCCTGACGAGGCCATGGCAGGCCGAAACCAGTCAGCATGTATCCTTGGGAGGGCAGGTTGTGGTGGTTGACCAGGGCGCTTGCGCGAGCTGAAACAACGCCTTGGTGCCGCACGGGCCGTGCCGCTGCGCCAAATCTCTAGGCCCGTGACAAATGGTATCAGAGCAGGACTTGGGGAAAAGCACAGAGGTGTGCCCCCTTGTCGATCCGGGGGTCTTGAGAATGAAGTGGGTGCACTAATGCGTCGGTGGGCAATCAATGCTGTTGGAGGAGAGCCTCCATCTCCCCATGAAGATGCATCCTTTGAAGCCGGAGGGCCGTGCGCACCAAAGTTCTTGCAAGTTCAAGAGGCGTGCAAACCGTTGTGAAGGGCGGGTATCAAGTCAGCCGGAGGGCCCTTGTTTGCTCGGGGTGTCGCGGAGGCGGCATAACGTGGGGTTGCGTCCCGAAGAAGTGGGCGTCCCTTTAGCCCGAAACCCTATCATTGGGCGAGTGCAGCCAGGGGTTGTACAAGGAAGCGATGGTAGGCAGGCGAGTATACCACTTGGAGGAGAGAAACTTTGGAATGTTGGACGCAGTGGAGTCAGCGCTGTACTGCGACGAGGGCGTCGCAGGATTTGGGTGGGGGAGAATGTCACGATCCGATTCCTAATGACGCCATGAGCATAGAAGACACGCATGTTAGTTGGCTAAGAACATTCATTGACTGGGAATGGTTCTAGGGAAGGGGCGTGCAGGACCACAAGATGGTACCTCTTCAAAGTTCAGGCATGTCGACTCAGTTCAGTTCGAGGTGCTTGTCGCTAGTTGTGGACTTGACTATGAAGAAGGGAGTTGGCAATCCCTGCACAAACTGGTCGGAAGCTGGAGCCGTTTCCCTGACGAGGCCATGGCAGGCCGAAACCAGTCAGCATGTATCCTTGGGAGAGCAGGTCATGGTGGTTGACCAGGGCGCTTGCGCGAGCTGAAGCAACGCCTTGGTGCCGCATGGGCCGTGCCGCTGCGCCAAATCTCTAGGTCCGTGACATTAAGGTTGATTACTTTGTTGCTCTTTCATTACTAGTTGATTATATATATATATATATATATATAATTAATTTGTACTTGGTTATAGTGTTGTGCATTTATATACATATTCAATATGTTTGTAGTGCAAATTCTCAAATTTATCACTATTTACTTATATTTTCTTTGTAATTATGGTATTTTGTTTAATGGATTTTGAAATTTTTATCTAGTGATGGCTATATATATATATACTTGGTGGGAGAAAGAGGGATAGAGAAATGGGTTCAATTTTTTTGATATTTTGGACATTTAAAATGGATCTTAGGGGTATTTAAGTCATTTTATATATGAAACAACCTTTTAGTAAGTCAAATACAAAGTCAAATAGGTAGAAATATAATTTTACATGTGAAAAGTAATTTGACACCATTAAAAAGTGGCGTTTGTGGTGTGAGTGAAAAATAAATCAAACGTTTATAATGTGAGTAATATTTATTTTCAAAAAATATCTCCGTATGAAATTTGACCAACCTCAAGAGGTGAAATTAACCCTTCTTCTTGTTATGTTATGTCATTGCCCAAATATTTTGATTATTCATTGATTCAAAATGAATTGAAAGAAGGTCTACGATATATGTTTCACATAAAAGAGTTCTTTTTCTACTCAACTATGGCGGCCTATAGTATTCTTTTAGTGAAATAATAATAATAATAATAAATTGTCATTGCTTTTACATTCTATTTGTTAATAATTATTGCTACCATTTATTGGTGGACTATTCGAAATATGGCTAAATACTTTTCAAAATTGTGGATCTAGTTGGTTTGATTTTTGAAAATAGTTTTGGAAAAATAACAGAAAGTCAATTATGTAACACAGTTTAATAGGACTTTTTTTTTTTTTTTTTTTTTTTAAGGATTTGTAAAAGGCATAGTTTTGGAGAAATAACATAAAGTCAATTATGTAACACAGTTTAGTAGGACTTTTCTTTTTTCTTTCTTTTGGATTTGTTAAAAGTACATACCTAACTCATGCATTCGCTTTGGCCTTTAGAACTCGAATTCTATAACTATCTACCTTGATAGTGATAAATCAAAACTCATGAGATTTAAATTTATGCATAATGCCAACTCTTTATATTTCATAAAGATTTAATTTATGCAGTATTACCAACTCTTTATATTTGATAGATATTTTTAAACTTCAAAAGTCAAAATTTTCTCTAATCTAAAGATATGTCAGTATTATTGGAAGAAAAGAAAAGGTCAAATTAAGAGTATTTAGACAAAGAAATTAACCTAATATTATCGATTTAGCCATGAACAGATCACAAAAATATAAACAAATTTTACTCAAAACTTGTATAAATATTTATATTGATGATAATAATAATTCTCATACCTAATAGTCTAATCGAAATTTTTGACTAACATATTCAGATGACATAGAATCGCTAGCATAAGGGGAAAAAAAAAATTTAATTGAAATGAAAGATTGCGTGTGTGTGTATATATATATATATATATATATCTCAATAATTGGGGAGAGGAGAATTAATCGAAGCTGTTTGAAGAAGCTTTTGCGCAGCGGAAAGCTGACTCATTAATGACAAAAAGCGAGCCCGATACGCCTGGGCCTGGTCGACGGACTCCGCCTCAAGCTCGCCGAGCTGCGAGCAGAGCCGCTCCTCCGCATCCTCCGCCACCCTCAGCCTCTGCAACGTCCTCTCCAGCTCTCTCCTCGTCCTCTCCTCTCTCTCAACGCTCTTCCTCAATTCTCTCTCTAACTCCTCATTCCTCTTCATCAACAACTCCTCCGCCTCCGCCGCTGGTGGCGGAGTCCCGCGGTGCGATTTCGTCTGTGCAGAGGACAACGCTATGGTTGGAGCCATTTCCCGAAATAATAGGAATAGTAAAGGGGCTGAGATGCTAATGCTGTGTGTCAGATCAGAAAAGACTGCGTTTTCTGTTAGCAATCGAGAGTTGATGGGTGGTTTTATAGGCCCAAAAGAAGATGTCCAGGTTCAATGTACCTGATTTATAGGAAGCAAGATGTTTATTAGTTATTTAATAATAAGAGATATGCGTCTGCACTTTGCTTCTTTTTTGGTCAATATACATCCAGTGAACCCATTAATTCCAGAATCGTCACCTCATATGGAATTTTGAGGTTGTTTTTTGGATTTTGTGTATTTGTTTTATGTGGCAAATAGCTGCAGCTTCTTGCCTGCTACGTGTGTGCGTATGTATAAATTTATATGCATATGGGGTGTATTTGTTTTAAGCGGACAATAAATTTGAGAAATGCAAATTGACCATGGACGATGGGTCACAATCCTCAAAAGAGTGCTGCCATTTTCCGAGTCCGCATGCAGTTCACTAGAAGCAGTCCATTTGTAGAGCCTACTCAAAGAAAAAGGGTATGGGCAAATTATATATATATATATATATATATAGCTCTTGGGGAGACTAGAACCATTTGTACAAAAATTCTGTTTGTACAATTTTTTTATACAAAGAACTATTTTTTACGAAAATAATTTTTTATTTTCTGAGTTTTAAAAATTATTTTTTTTTAAATTGAACCAAATAGCTAGACCCTATATATATATTATTATTATTATCATGGTGGTCTTCAAGAGGGATGTTTTGTTTGTAATATACCTTGTTGGTAAAAATATTAATATTGAGTTTGCTTGATTTATCAATCTAAAAACACTACTCAAATGATTTATAAAATAATTATTTTCAGGTAGCTGCCTTTTTAGTTCTCAAAAAAGGTTAACCAAACAAATTTTTGTACAATTTTTTAAAATTTTTAATTGTAAAAAAAAAAAAAAATACCAGCTTTTTGAATTGAAAGCCCATATTTTTACTTTGTCTAGTCAATAATATAATGACCGGATAATAATGGATTTCTACTTTTGGGAAGCATTATCTTGGAATTAGAATTATTATTATTATGGCAAGATTGTTAAAGGTTAGTAATTAGTGGAGTTGAAGGTACAAAGGGTTGAAGTTAATAAGGCAACGGCCGGAAGCAATCCCTCCCACCACTTAGAGCAATTGGTGTTTTAAAATGTCCTTTTGTATAAAATATAAACTGTCACTTATGATGTGTAAATTTTTTTCGTTTTTAACTGTCTTTTAAGATACATTGTCACATCACTAATGTATAAAAGACATTTTTACACTACCGGATCAACATATTTCATTTCTCATCCCTCTTTCTCATTCCATTAAAGAATCAGCCATATATTAAGTAAGTTTGTAAAAATTATGTGGGATCCTGACATGACGTTGACTAGTTATTATTGGGAGATATATTTTTACACAAAAGATATAAAATACCCGTTGAAGCTCAAATTAAATAATTCAAAATTCTTGTGTAAATTCATTATGACACATCAAATTTACACAACGACTGGAGATGCTCTTAGGCTACGAAAGGATTCACAAATTAGTTTTGTGCATTGATGGACCTCACTAGGGACTGTGCCTAGTTGGCAGCTTGCTGACTGGGTGAAAATATATTTTTACTCCTTAAAAACAGACTTAGAATATAAACATAAGAAATTATACATGATATAAACAAAAATAAGAAGGTTTTATGTAATGAATTCAGACTTGGATCCCTTAAGTTACATATTCTATAAATTATCCTAAGTTAAATTCGCTGCTGATTGACACGTGACATTTAAAATCTATTTACAGCTGGTGTTAAACCACATCAACTAATTTAAAGAAAATATACACCGTTTTGAGATAAGGAATTAAAATTTACCAAATGTTAAAAACTGTACCGTTTTGAATTAAAGAATTTTTTCTAAACTCTAACAACGTTTATCTCCCCCATCTTTTCCAAAAAACACTCCTCCCAATCTCTTCTTTTGCTCATTCCTACGATTGGAGGAATATTTCGCGTCAAAAATGAATGTTCTTTGCCGTGGAATTAAGAATATATGATAGAGAACTTGAGGTTAAAAGAAAAAGATGAGAGAGAACGTGAAGTTAAAAGAAAACGGTAATTAATATTCATTTTTGGCGCGAAATATATATGAGAGAGAACGTGAATTTTCCTATATGATCGTGAATTAAGTATCTCTTAAATTCTCTCTTCCGCAACCATTTCATGAATTGGTTCTTCTTTTTCTTTTTTTATTTCTTATTTCTTACAAATAACTTTCACAATACTCTGGAACATTTGTACTCTCCATCTTTCCTTTGAGTCACGTGGCTTGACATGGATTGGTTATTTTTATCATCGGGAAATTTCTACTTTTTGCCGCTATTTGAGATTTTGATTTATACTGATTAATTGCTTTGGCAGCATTTCATTTCTTCTTATTATTATGTTATGTCGTTGCCCAAATATTTTGAAAAGCAATTTATTTACTATTATAATAATTACTCATTTATCGCAGTTAAAAGTTATTCAAAATGAACTGAAAGAGGGTCTACAATATACGTTTGTCACACAGAGTTCTTTTATATAGTTACTCAACTATGGCGGCCTGTATATAGTATTCTTTTAGTGAAAAAAAAAAATTAATATTAAATTTGTCATTGCTCTTGCATTCTATTTGTTAATTGCAATATTTATTTGGTTTCAAGTTTCCAAACACATTTGTCATTTTGTTCTTTTTGTGAACGCTGAGTTCTAGCAATTTTATTTATTTTTTTGAATGGATTGCATATAATTGGTGCATTCAATTTGAAATTGAAAAAAAATTATTTCAATCAAACATTAAACTATGTTCTTTTACTTACATATATATATATATATATATATATATATATATATATATATTTAATAAAATAAAATAAACACTCAACCAGCCGAACTTACTATCGCTGCCATTTATTGGTGGACTATTCAAAATATGGTTAAATAGTTTTCTTCTTCCTGGACTCAACTGGTGAATTTCAAAATTATGGAACTATTTGGCTTGGTTTTTTAAAATAGTTTTGGAGAAATACAGAAAGTCAATTATGTATCACAGTGGAGTATGACTTTTTATTTTTATTTTTTTTTTATTTTTATTTTTTTTCTTTTTTTGGTCCTAAAAAAAATATAGATTGTACATCCACTTTGCCCTTTGAAACTCAAATTCTAACCATCTACTTTGATAGTTTAATGAGTTGATAAAACTAAACCAAAACTAATCACCTACTTTGATAGTTTAATATGAGTTGATAAAACTAAACCAAAACGCACAAGATTTGCATAAATGCAGTAATGCCAACTCTTTATATTTGATAGACATTTAATTTATGCAGTAATGCCAACTCTTTATATTTAATAGACATTTTTAAACTTTCAAGTCAAAATTTTCTCTAATCTAAACATATGTCAGTATTATTGGAAGAAAAGAAAAGGTCAAATTAAGAGTATTTAGACAAAGAAATTAACCTAATATTATCGATTTAGCCATGAACAGATCACAAAAATATAAATAAATTTTACTCAAAACTTGTGTACATATTCATATTGAGGAATACAACAAAATGGAGCTTTTGTGACTAAGTTTTATTGACCAGATATATTTGGTCAGCAAAAGTAGTTTTTTAGTGACCAAATATTTTTTTGTCACCATTAGTGTATGTTTTTAGCAACTAACAACAAAATTTGTCGATAATCGTTTGGCGGGAAGTTGGCGCTCTTTCATGCTCCTTGGAGGGATCTAAACTTGGTAACTTTTTTGTACTAGCCACGAATGTTTTCGTCTCTTTGAAATTTTGCAATACGACAATATTCTTTCCTAAAAATATTATTTTAGACAGTGCTATTTTATTAGTAAAAAAACCCAAAAAGGAAAAAAGGTCCTGTGAGCGCATATGATTTCTTCCCCCAATCTCTAAGTTTTCTCAGTTTCCCCCGCTAGAGCAAATTGATCTCCTGATCAAATTCCAATATCTTATCCCTAATCCAAAACAAAAAAATTCATTATCCCACACATAGCGCGCCTCTTTTTTCTCAAAAACCCTAGATTTATCTTTGTTTTATGTGCTCTCCACTAACAAATATATCCACAGAATCTGACTATCAGGATTATCTCAAAGCGTTGTGCGTGTGTCTGCAAGAGATATTCCAACAGTATCTTACACTTCAACGTTGGCGTCCAAAGTGCTCTCCATCCTTTTCTCCAATTTCCAAAGCCGCGGCCTGCTATTTACTCCATTAACAATAGATTAAAGCCCTTAAATCTCGGTAAGTTTCAAATCTTGAATTATATTTCTTATTCACTTTGGAATTTGTTGTTTGTTCTTTTCAATTCTGATACTTTGTAAATAATTTAGTTTTGCAATTTAGGCTTTTGATTTGCTTTTGAAAAATCTCTCATCAATCATGAAAATACATTTATACATGTTATGATTATATGAGTTTAATGATCTGTTATGGATATGGGTACTGAGAAGATATCTCCTAACTTTTGCCTTGCAGCTCTGTCATCGGATTTGTAGCAGTGATTCTTCTTTAACGTTGTTTTTGTTATAGAAGAACAATATATACAAACAAGGTATGTCGTCTGTTATAGATTCTAGTGATATTCCAGTGATTTGTCTTTAACGTCATTGCTGTTATAGAAGTATGTCAGTATGTCGCCTGTTATAGATTCCAGTTATCTGGGTTTGGCCTTGGGCCTTGTTTGTATATATTGTTCTCCCTTCTCTCTCTCCATTAAAATAATTAATTACATGTTCTCTTTGATCTCCTACCTACATCTTGTCATTTGTTTTTAAGTTCTCTCTCATTTTTTTAAAAAATATTTATATATTTTTTTCTACTCCCATTTTGTCATCTCGCTCTCTCTCTTCCCCTTTAATGAAATTCTATTAGCTTATTATTATCAAGTGTATTTGTCTCTGAATTGAGGTCTTGGTCTTTCCCTTCCTTTGACTACTACCGGGCTGCTTTGGTTTCATTGGCTTTAAATCAATATTAACATTTTTAATTGAATAGTTTATATATTTAAGAATTGCTTTTTGCATATATGATTATTGTGATCACATCTGTGGTGATGCTGCATTTTTTTTGTACGAGACTCTAATGTAATTTTCTATTATGACATAACTTGTTTTTTATGCTCCTTATTAAAAGTCTGACTTTAAATTTTTTTTTACATACATAGTTATTTTTGGTTGGTTTTGTGGGTCTGGACCATTGATACGTTGGATCAGGTTGACAAGCTTGGGATTCTAGAGTTTACTAAGAGCAGCTAATAGAATTTTTTTTTTTTCCTAAATGGAGTAAGTTTTATGAATAATATCAATAATGTTCAAAGAAACTATGACTGCATACCCTAATGACAAAAGAACATACTCCTAAAGAGAGAAGAAGACAGTCAAGGACAGACCCCTTGACAAAAGAAAAGCATAGACAAAGATACTGACAAAGCTATAAATCTAACTTATCAAACTTCTCCAACCAAAGAAAGAAGAAAGCAGCAAAAACAAGAGATTTTGCAGCTTCTTACATTGAACATTTGGCCAGGAGAAAAAGACAACACTTGGACATACATCTAAGAACATTCTAAATGTAAAGCTCTGATAAACCAGTCCAAATATACCATAAGATCGAAGACACAGCAACCGTAATAAGAGACTACTAAAATACAGCAGCAGGGCTAAAAACAAACCCCTATGCTCTCAAGCCCCTTCATGAAAGGAAGAGCTTGCGCATCTAGCAGCTTCAAACATTGAACTTCTGATGAGGAGAGACAAACATCTTTGAACATATTCTGTAACTACAGAACTTACTGAATAAGTTTGAATTAACTTTAGAGAAGGCTTTTTAGATGCTTTCACAATCATCTAAAATAATTTTAAAACACATGAAAGAGCGAAAATAATTTTTGCAATGACAGATAAGCTCTAATTAAGGCTATAACAACCTTGTTGGAGGCTTTTCCCTATCCTAAAATGAGATTAAAAAAAGTTTTATGTAAATTAAACTTGTTTACTTCTATTAATTTTGGGTCTTTTGTATTAACATTTACCTATAAGAATCTCAATAAAAAAATGCTTTTCAACCTTCATTGTATTTTGAAAAGGGAATGTGTGGTTTTTCTGTGTCATCGTGTACTTGTATGCTTGAATCAGTTTCCTCTTGAGAGGAGCTTCTGTGATGGGTTTCTTCAGTCACTCTATTGAAATCTGGTTCTGATAAGTTGTTTTGCGAGACAAAACTGATTGTCTCTTTACTGTGGACTTCTTCTTCCTCATCAATTGGGCTTTTCTGAATATAATCGACATTGTGCTCCTTTAGGAATAACATGAATTCTTTAAAATTCTCTTCTGTTGGAAGATAATGTCCACTGTGAGGCTAGACTGCCTATTGAATTCAATAGTCGGATTAACATACAAAATAAAAGTGTCTTAAAAAGGATCCAAAGAAGCTATAAAAAGGAAAATAAATAAAAGGATGTGGCACAGTTTTGTACACTTAGAATTCCATCTTCGACTACTAATCTACCAGCACATAACATACCCCAACTGAATAGAAGCAGCAGGGATAAAAACACAAAATCCAAAATACACATACAGCCCACTCCAAAGTACACCCCCATGTTCTCAAGACCCTTCAAGAAAAGAAGAGCATGCACATCAGTAACTTCATACATTGAACTAATACACATACAGCCCACTCCAAAATACACCCCATATATATGCATCTATTAATCTTTTTATTAATAAGTTTTATTATTTTTATTTACTAAAAGTCTTGTAAAATTGCTAAAATAATCAAAACACTTATTAAACTCTCCATTAGTACCTAACTAATCAATTAATAATTAAGGACAATAAAAAAACAAATTAATTGACCTAAGTCACACACCTGTTATTTTATTGTCGCTAGTTGCTGAAAGCACCTCATTCCCTCTCATCCTGGTCTCAAATGGAAACTGGAATCTCCTCTTTCTTTCATTATATTTTCTTCTCTCTCAACAAAAAGTGAAATGATTAATGATTTTAATTTATTTTTACATATTGTGGGGTCCAACATAAGTGCATGAGTCTTTTTAAACTGTGACTTACTTAAATGGGTGAGAATTCTATGAAAATTCATTGAAAACATTTATATAATTAATTAAAAGTCTACATATATATAAAAAAATAACATTCCTAATTTTTTTAGTTTAATTCACGTTGTTGTTGATGATGTTTGCAAATGTAGATGGACAAGAGTTGGATCCAACTTCCTAGGATTGATCCGCACTATGCAAAAGGGATTAAAGATTTTATTGAGGTGGCTAAGGCCTATGTAGATGACAAGAATAGGACTAGGTGCCCATGTTCTAAATGCAAAAACATACCACATAGAACATTACCTGAGGTTAAAGGACACTTGTGTCAAAATGGGATGGACAAAATGTATACTCGCTGGGAATGGCATGGAGAGGGGTATGATATGGCTAATAATAATAGTTCAGAGGAAGAGGTTGAAGAAGAGGAAGATGGTGATGAGGTAAATGAGTTGTTGGAAGACATTTGCATGGGACCTTTTGTGCAAATAGAAATGACAGATGTTCAGCAAGGGTTGGATGATGCTTTGCCAAATTCTAACATGGGATATGATAGGTTTCAAGATTTATTACAGGATGCACAACGTGAGTTATATCCAGGATGTGAAAAATTTTCAAAATTATCGTTCGTTCTAAAGTTATACAATATGAAAGTAACTCAGAAACTGAGCAACAAATATTTCACTATGATGCTAAAGTTGCTTAATGAAGCAATGCCCAAAGGTGTTGAGCTTCCAAAGTCACATTATGAGGCAAAGAACATGTTGCGTGAATTAAGTTTTGGGTATGAAGTGATACATGCTTGCATAAATGATTGTATTTTATATTTGAAAGAATATGAAAATAATGAGTTATGCCCTCGGTGGGGTGAGTCTAGATACAAATCTTGTGAAGGCAAGGGTAAAAAAATACCACAAAAGATTCTTAGATACTTTCCTTTGAAGAGCAGGCTTCAGAGGTTGTTTATGTCAAGAAAAATATCTTCAGATATGAGGTGGCACAAAGAGAAACGTGTTAAGGAGACTAATATATTCAGACATCCCGCAGATTCTATGACTTGGGAGGAATTTGATATAAGACATCCTTGGTTTTCAGCGGAACCTCGTAATGTTAGACTTGGTCTAGCAAGTGACGGATTCAATCCATTTAGCAACATGAGTAATTCATATAGCATGTGGCCAGTAATGGTTTTTCCATACAACTTGCCACCTTGGAAATGCATGAAAGAACCATATTTGTTTATGTCATTACTTATTCCTGGACCGAGATCACCAGGGAAGGAAATTGATGTGTACTTGAGACCGTTGATCGATGAGTTAAAAGAGTTATGGGTGGATGGTGTAATGACTTATGATGCTTCTACTATGTGTACTTTTAGATTGCATGTGGCGTTATTATGGACAATAAATGATTTTTCAGCATATGGAGATTTGTCTGGTTGGGTCACAAAGGGGTACATGGCATGTCCTGTTTGTAACTTTGATGCATCTTCAATACGTTTGGAGCATGGGGAAAAAATTTGTTGGTTTTGCCATCGTCGTTGGCTGCCACTAGACCATAAATGGTGAAATTTATACAAACAGTTTGATGGTAACAAAGAAAGGAGGTCACCACCTAAAGAATTAACTGGTGATGAGTTGATTCAACAGTTGCTTCAAATTAGGTTCGCCGACTTGGGAAAAGGACCGACCAACAAAAAGAGGAAGCGTACCAAATCCGAGTTAAATTGGACTAAGAAAAGCATATTTTTTCAATTGTCATATTGGCAAGGCCTCAAACTGAGACATAATCTGGATGTTATGCACATAGAAAAAAATATATGTGATAATATATTAGGGATATTAATGAACATTGAAGGAAAGACAAAAGACACAATGAAATCTCGTTTGGATTTGCAATTAATGGGTATAAGAAAAGAGTTGCATCTTACTCCTAGTGGCAATAAGTTTCTTATGCCCCTGGCATGTTATACATTATCTACTGATAAGAAAAAGAACATATGTGAATGGTTGAAGGCAGTATAGTTGCCAGATGGGTATGGTTCCAATATATCTCGGTGTATTAATAAAAATAATCGTACTATATCAGGTTTGAAAAGTCATGATTGTCACGTACTTCTCCAGCGTCTTCTTCCGGTTGCTATTCGTGGACACATGTCCGATAATGTATGTAATGCATTGGTTGAACTTGGATTATTTTTTAAAGAGTTGTGTTGTAAGACGTTGAAACTAGAAGTCTTAGAGGCACTTGAAAAAAATATTGTATCCATACTTTGCAAGCTTGTGATGATCTTCCCACCTTCATTTTTTGATGTGATGGTTCATCTAGCTGTTCATTTACCCCGTGAGGCGATTATTGCTGGACCAACACAATATCGATGGATGTACCCCATTGAAAGGTGTGTCTTATTTGTTCGTTAATTCATATCTCCATAATTTTTATTCTTATGTTAATTCCTTTTATAATTTTGTCAATATGAAAACATATTCAGATTTCTACGAACTTTGAAACAATATGTTCGCAACAAAGCACGACCTGAAGGTTCAATTGTCGAAGCTTATGTTGATAGTGAGTGTGTTGCATTTTATTCATTGTACCTTCGAGGGGTGGAGACATGTTTCAATCGAGAGGAAAGGAATTTTGACAAAGGGCAAACCCAGAAGTCAACAAGTTTTTCTATATTCACGCAGAATGTTCGCCCCTTAGGGTATGGAAATTATGAAATAATGGATTCTGCAAATCTCGAAAAGGCGCACTTTTATGTGCTTAACAATTGTCCAGAAGTGGAGCCATTCTTAGGGTAAGTGAATTGGATATATTATGTTATTTAAATTCAATTATTATTATTTAAAACATTGACATTCTTATGTAGAAAACACATGGAAGAACTAAAGAGACAAGATCCTAACAACGTAGTTGTGAGGCATTCAAAACAATTTACTAAATGGTTTGAAGAACATGTAAGTTTTTCATAAAATTTATTGCATATTAATTGTATAATAATATTTTTTTATATCTATTCTCATATATGTTATGTAAACTATTTCATTTATGTATAGGTTAAAAGATTGCGACAAAGTATGTCGCCTGATGCTATTGATGATCTTTATTCTCTAGCTTGTGGGCTTGACTCGAGAGTGAAACGATATACAGGTTGTGTTGTGAATGGGACTAGGTTCCATACTAAAGAGAGGGAGAAGAACAGGAAAACACAAAATAATGGCGTGATGGTCAAAGGTGAAAATATTGATTTTTATGGTTGTTTAACAGACATCATTGAGGTGTCTTATGACACGGAAAGACGTGTAGTTCTATTCAGGTGTGATTGGTGCAATACAAGAAGTGGAATTCAAAAAGATAAATATTTCACTAGTGTCAATCTCTCCCGTCAAGCATATAAGGATGAGCCGTTCGTGTTAGCTCATCAAGCCAAACAGGTTTTATACCTCAAGGACAACAAATTAAGGGGTGAATGGGAAGTTGTGCAGCAGATTGATCCTAGGAACTTATACGATGTCCGAGAAAAAGATGATAAAACAAATGGGTCAAATGAAGGGGAAAGTAGTGAGGAGGTTGCATATCAAGATTTTGAGTCACTAGAAGTTAATGGTGTTGTTCGAGACATAGATTTTGACTCGGTGACATTAACTAATGATGATATGGTTTCAAATGAAATTGATTCCGATGCAGTTCATAATATCATAAATAATGCACATGGCAATGATGATGTAGAGAACGTTACCCTTGATTATGAAACTTCTGATGAAGAAGATGCATCCAATGATGATTCCTTGGATGAAGAAGATATTGTGTTTAGTGATGATGATACCGATATAGAATAGTTTGTTGTTTAAAAGTTAAAAATCTTACTTTACTAATATATTAAGAATTTTTATGTTAAGATGTGCTCATTTGTAGTTATGTGTTATTTTGAAATGCTTACATTCCAAATATGACTTGTTTTTTTAGCTTATAATCTGTTTGATTTCATTTTTAAATTGCATTAATAATATGTTTAGTTATATAGAATTGATATTTTCATAAATTTCCTTCATCAAAGTGTATTACTATTGCATTTAAAGGAAGTGATGTTCTTCAAGAGAGGTAGTTTAGTTCTACCATTTCTATATTGTTGTATTTTGTTCCAGTGTATACATGGCTCCTACTAGTCGTAAGAGAGTAATGGCTAACACTACTGATATCAACAATGATGAGTTACAGTCCATGCCGGATGATGGTCAATGTAAGTTAATAGAATAATTTATTATTGCAACTATAATATATTATTGTTTAGAGTATCAAAAATACTGAAGTGGATTTATTTGCAGGTTCTGCCACTTCCGTTAAAAGGCGTGGACCCTCAACAAACAAGGCATTGGAGGATGTGTTGGATAAAAATAAGAGGCAGCCATTAGAAGTTACATTTAAAGAAGGACATTTGCAGCCTGTAGGTAAGAACGCAAAACTTTGGAAGGCTGAAATTGGAGTAGAAACAAGACGTTTTCCACCTATTTACCCCCGATATGATAAGATACCACCTGAAAATAAGGATGCTGTGTATTATAGATTAAAGGGAATACTTTCATTCTTACAAAACTACTCTCATTCCAATCTCTTTTGCTAATTTCAATAGTTAGTAGTTAATTGACAATGTTTAATTTGATTTGTTTTCCAGGTAGTAACTTATGTTTCGCTAAATATATGTTTTTCCTTTACAAATTACCAAAGTCTAACTAATAGATAATACTTTTTCTTATCTATTTGGATAACTAAATTTATTGTTCTATTTCTTTTAGAAAAAATTTAGACCTAATGTTGGTGAACACCATCATAGACGGGCATTCGATCATCAGTTCAGCAAGTGCTTGAAGGCCCGTAGATACAAAATAAAGAATTACTATGATGGCTTTAAAAACGCTGAGCTTGCTCGGCGTAACCCATTTGAAGGTGTTCCCAACGAGCATTGGAATCTATTGTGCGACATATACAGTTCTGAGAAGTGTGTGGTAATGAAATAATATACTTACAACTTTGTAATTATGGATTGAGTTTGAATTACACACACAAATATGTTGATATACATGTTTTTTGATTAATTATCATGCAGAATCGCAGTGAGACAAACAAAAAGAATAGGGACAAGGTGAAGACTAAGAATTATGGTGGCTCGAAAACGTATGTTCAGTACCTGGATGAGATGGTAATGACAAAAGGCTATTCAAATCACATTTTAGTACTTTTTGAAAACTTCTTTATGCATTAATTTTTCAATTAGTTATACTTGTATAGTTAAAATATTCAACGCCCTTATATTTTGGTGTCTCCATTTAAAATAATATGTTTTTATACATTAACTAAATTGAAATGTGTGAAGTTATTCAAAACTGTTTTAGTTTCAACTTTAATGAGTTTTGTAGATGATTAATTTGATATAATAAGTTATATATGTATATGTTCTAAAATTCAACATATATATATATATATATATATATATATATATGTATTTGTATATACTGTGTATATGTATGTAATGTTTAGTATATGAAAATTATATGTATGTGGATACGAATATATTTGTAATTTAGTCTGAGTTCTCGCTAGCTTTTGTTCCTTATTCGGTTGATTGTTAAGCTTTTTATAGCTAGCCCAGTTTGTTCATTTTACTTGCTTATATATCACAGCTTAATAATGAAACTGGGGAAGATGGAAGTGTGATTGAATTCTATGCAAAATCGCACATCAAGGAAAATGGGGAATCTATTGATGAAGAGGCTGAGAAGAATTATGTAAGAATGTCTTCATTGTTAATGTTTTAGCTTTTATTTAAATTAAAGGATGGTGCACATTTAGGATGACAACTTCGCTTCTGAACATGCAGGCTAGAATGCTAGAAATGAAAAAAGTTGCAATTGAAATTGAAGAAGTAATAACCCACGAGAAAGAGGAAGAAATAATGCTTGAAGTGCTAGGGAATAAGTGTTCATTTTTAAATGGGCCTAATAAGGATATGCCAACTTTGTCAATCCGTGCTACCCAAAAAGATATGGATGCAGCTAATGCTAGGGCCGACAAAGCAGAAACGAATATGGACGAGATGAGACAAGAGGTGCAAGGGATGAGGGAAGACATGCAGCAACAAATTCAAGAGAAAGTGAAAGAGGCAATGCTTGCTTTTATTGCAAATATTGGGCAGCCTTCCCCTGCACCCCAAAATTAATCTACTTTAGAGTTTTAGAAGGACAACTTTTTAAAATTAATTAGGTCTAATATTTTAGGACTTTGAATACTTTCTTGCAGTTTCTTGTTTTTTAATAGTAAACCTATTATTTTTGGGATGATGCATCAATATTCCTTATGCCCTCTTTCTCTCAAATTGTTTGAAAACTCTCTTGTTTCACATTGGATATGGTTTTTGGAAGGATAATTTATGGTAAGTTAGCTAACTTAGAATCAATTTAATTTTTATAATTTTTTTTTTATCAATAGTTTTTACCAGGTATACAATTTATTTTGCAGGTAGTTCGTCTTGTTAAGAGAGTTGCTTCTTAATTTGTTGGAGTGTTCTATGGCAGTAAGTATTGCCTACCTTGTTTTTATTGGTACTAGGGGTTCACTTATAATGTAATCTATAGCATTTTCTTGTACGCAACATTATGGTAATTGAGTTGATATAATATTGTGAAAATACATAAGCCATAATTGCTTCATTAATGAGGGTTTTTATTTTTTATTTTTAAAATTATATTTCATGTTTAAAGTTCTCTTTAAGGGTGTACTGATATTTACACCTTCAATTGTTTCTTAGGAAAAAATTTGCTTTATTCTTTGGACTAGGAATTAATGCTGAAGTTGGTAAGTTTTAAATTTGTTGATTTTGATGAGATGTGATAATTTTTTATAAATACATACAGCAGTCTTGGAGAATATGATATTACGTATTGTAGTATTTGTTTTTTTGTATAAAAGTTGAGTAATATACCAACAAAGCTGAAGACATATTACTTTTATTATCGTGTATAAAGAAAATTAAATTTGAGCACGTTTCTCTTCTAGTCAGTTTATGCAATGCTACATTCTCGATCTATTCGTCCATTAAATTGCATATAATTAGAAAAAAAAAAAGTTTATATAATCTTACAAATTGTACACAATATTGTAATGACCTTTATCTTTTTGAATTGTAGAGCGATTAATTGGGATGACATGAAGAAAATGAAGTATTCATGACAACGACGAACTAAAGTGATGAGATTCCATACGAAGAACTTTGAGGTGCTGCCATAGAGGGAGAGTTAGGAGTTTGCTTTTATGTTTTAGTTTGGTCTTTAATTTGTATTAGACAATTGGAAATTTAGTTTATATTTTGACTCAGAATTGAACAAATGTAGAAATTTATTCAAATTGATGTTAATTTTGTATTTGAACTCAGAATTATTATGTATTGCATAATAAAATTTAATGCTATGTTTAAATTTGTATTGCTATATAGAGTTTGAAATTTGTGGACCTGTGTTACTATTTGGACTTTTTTATAATATTAGCAAAAACGATAAGAAGTTTAGAAATTAAAGCATGCAAAAAATGGTTTTTAGCAATGAAAGACCATTGTCATTGAGTAAGTTAGTGACGAAAACTTTCGTTGATAATGCCCAATAAAATGTGACAAACATTTTAGCTACTAAAAGGCAAACAGATGTAACGAAAAGTATGTCACTAAAAGTCATGCAATAGTGATGAAAATGTGACAAACGTTTTAGTCAATAAAAGGCAAACAGATGTGACGAAAAATATGGTTGCTAAACGTCATGCAATAATGACGAAAATGTCCGTCACTAGAAGGCAAGCAAATGTGACGAAAAGTACGTCACTAAAAGTCATGCAATAGTGACGCAAATTTTTTTGTCACTAAAAGCAAAGTCAATAGTGACGTAATTTGCATTCGTCACTATAGATCAACCGAGACGATTATATAGCAACGAAATATTGACAAATGATTTTTCGTCACTAAAAACTTTTAGCAACGAAAATTTAGTTTTTGGTGACGAAAAAAAACGTTGCTAAAGGTCACTTTTGTTGTAGATACCTAATAGTCTAATCAAAATTTTCGACTAACATTTTCGGTTGACATAGAATCGCTAGCATAGGAGAAAAAAAATTAAAATTGAAATGAAAGATTGCGCGCGCGCGTGTGTGTATATATATATATATATATATATAACTGGGGAGAGGAGAATTAATCGCAGCTGTTTGAAGAAGCTTTTGCGCAGCGGAAAGCTGATTCATTAATGACAAAAAGCGAGCCCGATACGCCTGGGCCTGGTCGACGGACTCCGCCTCAAGCTCGCCGAGCTGCGAGCAGAGCCACTCCTCCGCATCCTCCGCCACCCTCAGCCTCTGCAACGTCCTCTCCAGCTCTCGCCTCGTCCTCTCCTCTCTCTCCACGCTCTTCCTAATTCTCTCTCTAACTCCTCATTCCTCTTCATCAACACCTCCTCCGCCTCAGCCGCTGGTGGCTGAGTCCGGCGGTGCGATTTCGTCTGTGCAGAGGACACCGCTATGGTTGGAGCCATTTCCCGTAATAATTGGAATGGTAAAGGGGCTGAGATGCTAATGCTGTGTTTAAGATCAGAAAAGACTGCGTTTTCTGCTAACAATCGAGACTTGATGGGTCTTTTATAGGCCCAGAAGAAGATGTCCAGGTTCAATGTATCTGATTTATAGGAAGCAAGATCTTTATTAGTTATTTAATAATAGGAGAGATGCGTCTGCACTTTGCTTCTTTCTTGGTCATCATACAACCCATTAATTCCATAATCTATGGAATTTTTGGGTTGTTTTTTGGATTTTGTGTATTTGTTTTATGTGCCTAATAGCTGCAGCTTCTTGCCTATTACGTGAAAAAAATTTGACAAATGCAAAGACCATGGACCATGATGGGTCACAACAGTCCTCATTGGAGTGCTGCCATTTTTCCAAGTCCGCATGCAGTTCACTAGACACGGTCCATTTGTAGAGCCTACTCAAAGAAAAAGGGTATGGGCCAATTATATATATATATATATATATATATATATATTTGCGGTCATGGCAATAATCCATGCTCTGGGGACTAGGAACCATTTGTACAAAAATTCTGTTTGTACAATTTTTTTTATACAAGAACTATCTTTTACGAAAATAATTTTTTGTTTTTTGAGTTTTAAAAGTAATTTTTTTTTTAAAATTGAACCAAATAGACCCTATGTTTTTGTTTTTATTTTTATTATTATTATTATCATGGTGGTCTTTCAAGAGGGGTGTCTAGTTTGTAATATACCGACTTGGCAAAAATATTAATATCGAGTTTGTTTGGTTTATCATTCTAAAAATAGTTCTTAAATGATTTATAAAATAAAAAATTATTTTCAGATAACTCTCTTTTTAGTTTTCAAAAAGAGTTAACCAAATAGATTTTTGTACATTTTTTTAAATTTTCAATTGTAAAAAATAATAAAAAATCCTGAAAGCGCATATTTTTACTTTGTCTAGTCAATAATATAATCGAACAAACCTTCTACTTTTTGGAAGCATTATCTTGGAATTATTATTAATATTATTATTATTAGGGTAATTTGTACTTACACCCCTTCAGGTTTGCAATAAGGACAGGTAGATACAATAAGATTTAAAGGTTTACTCAAACCTTTGATGTAAGTATTCAATCTATTAATTGAATGATACATCATATTTTATTTTTGTATAAAACTTTGTCTCTATGTCATAAATCAAAATCTATGTATGAAAATCCCTCAAAAAGTTTTTAAAACTTGCTCGTTTCCCAAATAACTCGATATGCAGGCTAGTATGCTCCACAACCTTTAAATTAGTGAGATCAAACCAAAAGACTTCCTTTGTTGCCTTTAAGGCTGTAATGTACTCCACCTTCAGGTTTGAGTCGGCAGCTGAAATCTGCTTAACAATTTACCAACTGATTTCCCTTCCATTAAGTAAATATACACTAAGTCATGGACCTTATATTATCTGCATCTGATTTAAAATCAGAATTAGCATACCCGACTGGAACCAGATCATCACATCTAAAAATGAGTATGAGATTATTGGTTCTCCTAAGGTATTTTATGATATTTTTCACAACAGACCAGTTATCTAGTCCGGGATTAGACTGATATCTACTGACTATCCCTACATTGTAGCAGATGTCCTGTCTGATATAGACCATGGCATAAATGATACTCCCACATGTTGAAGCATATTATTCCAATCTCATTTGCTCAATCTCCTCCGCTAGTCTTCGAAAACTACTTACTAGAGAGAACAATCCATGTCAATAAAATAAGAACACATTTTTTGAGTTTTGGATACCAAACCTGATCTAAACTTTACCAATGTAAGATTGTTAAGATAAACTTATTTTCCTTTGAACTTGATCTTGCAAAAGCTTGATCATAGGAATATACCTTACATCTTGAAGATCTTCCATTTCAAAATAATTGAACAACTACATCTTTAATGATGACAAAGCTTTCACATCATTATAAATTAGTAGGATGTCATCAGTAGAATTAAAAAAATAATGACATTACCCTGTACACATATGGTTCATTCAATAAGAAATCTTCTGGTAAACTCTTGTAGATTAACTTGCCTTCCATAGGGATCACCCTACTAGAAAGTTCTACAAGATTCCAGATTTTATTAGAATACATAGATTCCAACTATGATTTCATAGCAACTTACCAAAACGATCTGTATCCATATCGGTTCACCCTTCCGTGCAGCTTACTAGGTTCAACTTATGTTTAACAGGGATGTTCGTAAAGGTTTCACTTAAAAATATGATTCTGTCGGATTGGACGATAACCATCCCACTACAATAATGTACCGACACAGGAATATATTTGTGTACTAGATGATGCTGACGCATCAATAGGGAATTCAGATATAATTCTTAATCTCTATAATAAGTGTGTTCATTTAAGGTACATCTAGTACTCATACCATATTCTTTAACATTATGCTACTAGGTATGTGATTCATAATATGATCCTCCTATAGATAAACAGTGAGTGTAAATAATCAACTTTTATCATTGAAATCATAAAATAATCCATCATAGTGGTTTTAGAGTCAAATCAAGTATGCCTGTGATCTGCTTTCAACTTACTTGTCCATCTTAAGCGCATATGTGCAAGACTATCCCATCAGTGCATGTGATTCAAACTAAGATTTAGTCAAAAACACAGCTCAAAAGATATTCTTGAGACAGACTAAGATAGAATGCAGTTCATAATGTGCATCGCTATCGTCAAGGCTAAACTCTAAAATGAAAAAGACAATGTAGCATAGCTAATCATAGATCTAACCATGTTAAGCAGAATTCTGTTATTCCTATTTGGCATCTTAATTCATTGAGCATCAATTGCAGAAAACTGGTACACAACACCCTCATTGACCATATAGTCTTTGCACTATCCTAAGAAATACTCAGATCCACAATCAGTTCAAAGTGTTTTGATAAGTTTACCTAGTTTGTGCTCCACCTTAGTCTTGACACTCTCGGAATATACCAAAAGTTCAAAACTTGTGTCGCATCAGGTAAATGTATCCAAAATGTGAGTAATCTTGCTTGGATGTTCATAAGACCACACATGTCAATGTGTACCGACTCCAATTGTTCTTTATGTCTATTTTATTTGGCTGATTAAAGCCCTTTAGGGTTATCTATCCTTTAATACAGGATTCACAAGTTTGGTTTAGGCTCCCCTACCTCACTAGGTAATAAACTTTCTTTGACTAATCTTTGAATCTCATTTTGACTGATTATAACTCAATAATAGACACTAAAAATACAATGAGTCAAGAATAACAAAATTTCTCTTAACATTCAATCTAAAATATGCAACATTAGTTTCTACATCATGCAAATATTAAAGCTTGTGATTATAGTATATTAACCATCTTCAATGCATCAGAAGCAATCGCACATCTATTCAATTTTATAAAAACATTTTTACCAAAAGTAACAGCACAACTTTTATAAACTAAGAGTGAAACAAGAATGAGATTGCGTCTAACATCTGTGCATAAAGATAACTCTCTAATACTAATATCCTCAAACTCTCTAATTCCAGATGTAATACTATCACTGATTTAGCTACAACCTTGGCAACAGGTCAAAAGACAAACATATATCCATATCATCGAGGCTTCTGGATTCCTGAAATCCTTGCAACGAATTGCAAACATGTTTAGTGGCTCCAAAATCTATCCATCAGGAATAAATAGATACAACCACATAACATAGCTCAATGATGAAATAGACATTTTCCTATGCCACGTTATTGCTTAGACAGTTTGTCCTTAAGTGTCTTAGTTGGCCGCAAAAGAAACA